TAGGGTGGAATGGAGGCCAATCCCAGGATGCTTTGATGTGTATTGTTTGGGAAGTCCTGGTGGTTTCACTCCATTGGCCCAGGTTGAGGGTCCCTTTGGAGAAACAGACTTACAGGTGCAACCTTTTCTGACCATACTTGTTTGTCAGACCAGCTTCCACTGAGCCTTCAAAGAGCAATTCATAATGGTTATAGAAGTCTTGTTCTAGAAATATCTCTTCTTTCCTCCCTTCTGCCTCTTTCAGGACCATGTGGTCAAAGCATATATCTATTACACAATATGAAGTCATGTGAATAGCAACATTTAGTTAATGAGCACTAGAAACTGATGATTTTTTAAAAATATTATTGGAAAAGCAGATTTACACAAAGAAGGAGATACAGAAAGACCCATTTACTGGTTCACTCCTCAAGTGGCCACAACGGCTGGAGCTGAGCCGATCTGAAGCCTGGAGCCAGGAGTTTCCTCCAGATCTTCCACGCAGATGCAGGGTCCCAAGGCTTTGGGTTATCCCTCTGCTGCTTTCCCAGGCCACATGCATGGAGCTGGATAGAAGTGGAGCAGCTGGGACATGAACCGGTGCCCATATGGGATCCCAGTGCATACAGGACAAGGATTTAGCCATTGAGCCATCACACCCTGGGCCCACTGATGACTGTTGAACACCTTGTGTTGCTGTGCTGAATCCTCTTTGATGAACATCTCCTTTAATTCTTGCAGTAGCGAGTCACTTGTATACAGTTCTTACCTTGTGCCAACTACCATCCAAGTGCTGCTGCTCCCATTGTACAGATGTAGAAGCAATCAGAGAAGTTATAAGCTGTATGGGACTGCAGTAAGCTGTGATGCAGAGTCAGAAATCGCACACAGACGGCCGGCCCCTGGCAACTTTGCTCATGACCACCGTGCTCTCTAACCCCTCAGCCACCCAGGCAAATTGGGACGGTGATTATCCCTATTACTAAGAGCAGGAAACCAACCAAACTGCTCTGGCACTAACAAGCATCAGCAAGTCTCCTGTGACCACTCTAAACGCGTTCAGGATTAAACCATGAAGACCTGCAGGTGTGCTTTGCCAGGAACAGCTAATCCTTGCACCTCTGCGGGGGCAGCAGGGTGGGCATCTTGGCCATCATGTTTCTCAGAGGGAAGTGGACTGGGCGCAGAGCCTGGGCTCCCTGTACCCGGGCCGCAGCTACCCCAACGGCAGCGCCGAGGCCCTGACTCAGGCTCTGGGAGATGGCGCAGGTCCCTGAAAGCTGGCTGCTAGGCCGGGATGATGAGACTCGTCATTCCATTCATCACTGCGCTGGCCTCTGCTGAACTGCTGGGCTCTGTCGCCCGAGGCTCATTTGCTATGGTTTTCTGACTCTCAATTAAGGAATGCCCAACAGTGCGTGCGTCTTTGTTTTGAAAGTCTGATGGAGAGAATGTGTCAGGGAAGGAGGAAGAATTGCTTCAGTCCTCTAGAAGGGAGATGTTTCTGCCATGCAGACTTGTGTGCGCTTTGCCAAGCTGTGCTTAACCAGCCTGGAGCTTTGCTCTGCTGCTAATCCATTGAGTGTTCCCTGGAGATGCCTGGGTGGCAGGGGAAGCGCTCTGAGTGATGACCCTGAAGGAGTCACTGAGACTCCTGCAGCCTCTCTATGTGGATCCATGAGATGGAAAAGGACGCCTTGCTGCCCTGTGGTGAGGGGTGGGAGGTTCTCTTGAGGAGGGAGACGGACTGCTTTGTCAAACGGGAGATCCCTGGGACCTGCGAGAGCGCAGGGCTGCTTCATCCAGAGGCCCCATCTATCTTGGCTCTTCCCCCAAGACTTCCAAGTTTTGTTTTATTTTTAAAAATATTTATTTGTTTATTTAATTGGAAAGGCAAATTACAGAGAGAGGGAGAGAGGGAGTATCTTCCATCCACTGGTATACTCCCCAAGTGGCCATAACGGCTGGAACTGAGCCAATCTGAAGCCAGGAGCCAGGAACTCCACCCAGACGCAGGGTCCCAAGGCTTTGGGCCATCCTCACATCTTTCCCAGGTCCTAAGCAGGGAGCTGGATGGGAAATGGAACTGCTAGTACATGAAGCAGTGCCCATATGGGATCCCGGCATGTATTGGTGGAGGAGCCAATGTACCGTCCCCCCGGGCTGTTTTCTTTCTCTTCACCTTGGACCACAGGTCCAGGTTCTTGGATCATTTAGCTCAACAGGTGCTCTCTGAGCCCCTCCTTGGTTCTTCTGTGGTGCTAGGAACCGAGCAAGGAGAACCCCAAGAGCGGGGAAGGATGCTCCTGACTATGGTCCTGTGGTCCTGGAGAGAGAGGAGGTGGGAAAAGACAGGAGCCTGAGACGGCTGCCACTTGACAGGGTGGTTGAGGGGTCATACAGCGTCTGGTTCTGTGCAAAGGCTGTAGGGCCTGGCCAATTGGGGGTGATTTCTGGCTCTGTGTCTTAGGCTGTGCAATCCCAGACAGCTTAGTTAACTTCTCTGCTTCTACATCTACACAATGGGAATAGCAATACTTGAATGGTAGGTGGTCCACAGCTCTGTTGTTTTTCATTTTTTTTTTTAAGATTTGTTTATTTTTATTAGAAAGGCAGATATACAGAGAGGAGGAGGGACAGAGAGGAAGATCTTCCATTCAATGATTCACTCCACAAGTGACCACAAAGGCCGGAGCCAAGCCAATCCGAAGCCTGGAGACAGGAACTTCCTCCAGGTCTCCCATGCGGGGTCCCAAGGTTTTGGGCCATCCTCGACTGCTTTCCCAGGTCACAAGCAGAGAGCTGGATGGGAAGCATAGCTGCTTGGATTAGAACCAGTGCCCATATGGGATCCCGGGCGCATGGAAGCCAAGAACTTTAGCTGCTGAGCTACCATGCAGGGCCCTGCTTTTCATTTTTATTTTTTTATTTTTTTATTTTTTTAAAGATTTATTTTTATTATTTTTTATTGGAAAGGTGGATATACAGAGAGGAGATACAGAGAGGAAGATCTTCCATCCGATGATTCACTCCCCAAGTGAGCCGCAACGGGTCGATACTATGCCAATCCGAAGCCAGGAGCCTCTTCCGGGTCTCCCACGCGGGTGCAGGGTCCCAAAGCTTTGGGCCGTCCTCTGCTGCTTTCCCAGGCCACAGGCAGGGAGCCGGAAGGGAAGCGGGGCTGCCGGGATTAGAACCGGCGCCCATATGGGATCCCGGGCGTGCAAGGCGAGGACTTAACCACTTGCGCCACCGCGCCGGGCCCCCTGCTTTTCATTTTTAATGTACAACTGGAAGAGGCACATTTGTGGTTTACTGTTACAAAGTGGACATGTTCATGTATCCACTACCTGACCGACCCTGCCAGAAACTCACTGGGCCCCCATTTACACTCCCAGGGAAACAGCCAACCGGTTAGGTTTGCCCATTTTTGGACTTTTACACAAAGGGAACCATCCAATGTGTATGCCCTTTTGCATCTGGCTTCTTTCTGTTAGAACCACGTGTGTGTGAGATCCATCCTTGTTGGCAAGAGTGGCAGTAGCTTGTTCACCCTCCCGACTTTAGCCAGAATGCCACCGAGGGAGCAGCTGGCGATTTACCTGTTCTGATGATGGGTCTCGGCAGGGGGAGGGGTGGAGAGTGACCACTCGCAGTGTGCTCTGGAATGTTCTAGTGCAAGTTTCTTTGGGGGATGGAAAGGGGACATGGGTGTACTTTCTTTGGGTCTAGACCCGAGAGCGGAGTGATAGGCTCCTGAGGTATTTGCTCAGACTGGAAGGATTAGATCACGATGTTAGGAAGAACTCCAGATGAGGATGGTTGTGGTTGATTAACCTGCGCCCTCAGAGAAGGAAGTTGTGAAACTGCCCCCTCCCTGCCAGGAGGGAGAAACTGGGATGGGTGTTGCTGGGCCTCCACGCCCTCATCCCTGGGCAGCGGGGCAGCCCTCACTGCTTTCCTGTCTGGCTTGGGTCCCCTTTCCTTAGTCTAAGGTTTCCAGATGGTACCACTGGAAGTGTGCAGCCCCTGGGGATGGATGCACTAAGGGGGCTTTCCTGCTTTCCCTCCCAGCCACAACACTGCATGCCCTGGAGTTCCATGCTGCAAAGATTCTGGGAGTGACTTTATTGGCTTTTTGGGACAGTTTTAGCCGTTCTGAGATTTGTGAATTCCCTTCCCTGAGGTCCCTTTGCAGCTGGGTGATACTATTTTGGTAACAGGAGGTGGGAGTGGGGAGTGTTAATCATTGGTCAGCCTCAGAGCAGGGCGGGGCTTCAGAGATCTGAAGTTCTTACGGGATGAGAAATTTCACATTTTTTGTTTTCTTAAGAATGTGTTGTTTGGACACAACAGAACAACTTCCAGAGTCTAATGGTTGCAGAGGAAGGACTAGTGAACTTTGAACTGTTAACTTTGAACTCTTCCCCTGTGCCGTAACTTAGTGTGTAAAGCTGCCAGTGCAGGCATCCCACCTGGGCACTGGTTCAAGTCCCAGCTGCTCTGCTTCCAATTTAGCTCCCAGCTAATGCGCCTGGGAGAGTAGCATGGGATGGGATAGCCCAAGTCCTTGGGCCCTTGTCACCTACGTCAGAGAGGAAGCTCAAATTAAAAAAAAAAAATGTTTTAAAGGAGTTCTTTTCCCATCCTCCCACCTTGCTTTGTTTTCTCACCTTTTCCACTGGCTGCTCCAGGGAGCAGTCACATGACTTTGCTTGGGTCCAACAGGATCCCATTTTTTGCCCAGGAGTGGGTGCTGTGGGCAGCCTGTGTGTCTCTCATGGTGATGGCCTTTCTTCCGCCAACGCTGGGCCTGGTTTGGACCTGTGGTTTCCATTGGCAAGGGAGGCTGGGCTGTTGATGGGCCTGGAGAGGAGCGTTCCTGCCGTGGCTCGTAGCTGGGGAGCCAACAGGCCTGATAAACAGACCCATTTCCCGGGGCCTGCGAGAAACAAAGCGCCTGCCTGCCAGGGGCCCGTCTCCCCCCTTCTTCCTGCAGCAGCTGCTTATTCTTTTGACAGGAGTTGGAACGCGGCACCTTCCCTTCCTCTCAGCCCTGCCTCCTCCTGCTGAACGGACTCAATAGGACTTTGTTGTTTTGCCTTTTACTCCGGAGGGAAAGAAGCAGATGATGAGGTACGTGAGATGCTGAAATGATTGACTTCTGCCACGTTTGGGTCACTGGGTAGACTCTGAGTGGCTGGCCTCATGGGTCTAACTCTGGCCTGGGATCCTTGCTACTGGTCCCCTGTGCAGAAACAGGACAAAGCCCTTCTTTCCCCAGCAGTGGATCTGGAAGCTGGTGGGATGTTGGCTTGAGGACTCGCGCAGTAAGTTCTGTTTTTAACTTTGCTCTCCTAGGCAGGGCCTCACAGGCCTGTAGCTGGCGTGCCTATGGCCTGGAATTTTCTCTGTGGGATTCACGGGTGGCAGTGCAGGGGTGAGGAAGGGGGAGGGTGTGGATCTAGAAACCCTGGCACAGGCGTGATGAGTAGATGCAGACCCCGGAGGACAGTACAGAATCTACCATCTCGCCTACTTTGGTTCTTTTCTTTTTTTTTTTTTTTTGCGGGGAGGAGGGCGGTGAAACTTGCACTGTGGTTTCTGGGCCAGACAACACAGCAAGCTGGCTGGATGTCTTAGATTTCCAGAAGGGAATTCAAGAAAAGCCTCTACGAGATGTCCTTCAGAGAACAGGTTATTCTGTTTGTGATGGCTGGGATGACATCTCGCCGTGTATTTAGTCTGAGACCTGTCTGTTATTTTCCTGTGTCTGTGTTTACTTTGACCCTTATAATGAAGACCAGAACTTGAAACAACCTTGCATGTACTCCCCCTCATTCTCTCGTCAACTGAGCCAATTTCTAACCAGAGAGAACCATTTGTCTGTACTGCACACCAATTCAGACAGGTGTTAAGGTAACACAGCACCCTCCCTCCTTAACCTGGTACCATTCTGACACAGGGAGCTGGGCCTGGAGGCAGAGAGGGTCTCTGCTTCAAATCCACCTTTGCTCAAGCTCAGAGTCTTCCTGAAAAAGTCAAGCTGAGGCCACTGCCCGACTCTTTGAGAGGCAAAGATGATGGAAATGATGATACCCTGGGCCAGGCACGGGAGGTGCTGGAACAGCAGAGTTGAGCCAGTCCAGGCCCGCCAACCAGACAAGGAAGAGTTGGCCCTGCTGGAGTCCCCCTGGGGTTTGGTTGGCTTTGGCTCAGTCCCATGTGGTAATCACGGGAGACAGAATGAGAGGATGCGCCAAGGAGAGCTGAGTGCTTCAGCTTTGGCCCGGCCGGCCAACCGTGTGGTTCAAAGACTCCCTGGGTCCAAATCCCAAGCCCTGCCACTCTGTGCTGGGCGACACTGGGCAAGTTATCTAACCCTGGAGAGCCCTGATTCGCTTTCAGAGCTGAAGAATGGAAATACTGGGAAAGTCACTCAGCGGCATTACTGTGAAGCTCATCTGAGTGGCTGCTGCCAAGGCTCTTAGCCCAGGGCTAAGCCTGACTCAATCTGGGAGGATCCAGGCACTGCAGGGCTCCAAGCTGACTCAGTTTGCAGGCTCCCCGTAAGAAAAAAAGGATGTAAAATTGCAAATTGCAAATACAACATTAGCTGGGGAAGCAAATGTTTAGCATATGAGACATGATACCATAATAATGAAAACTAAAACTAACAAATACTCGAAATATGACAAAATCCAGAAAACAGCGTGCTAATGAAATAATGGAAAAGTAATGCCAAAAAAAAAAAAAAGAGTATTACTTAGCTGCCTGATGTAACAGTCATGCTTTAGCTACGTGTTCTTTGCTTGCCTGTCTCTGACAACAATTTCCTAGCACAATTTTCAATAGTGACAAAAGAAAGATAAATTAGCGATGCCTCCAACATGGCTCATCACTGGTCGCTCTTTTTTTTTTTTTTTAATTACTGAGAGTTTAGAAGATTTTCTTTCAGCTGCAGAAGCTGTTATTGATGATGTTCCTTGCTTGGGTAGTGCCAGCCAGATCATTACTCAGACTCAGCTCTCGCACCCTTGCTGTGCTGCTGGGCCTGGGTCCTGGAGAGGTCTGGATCATCATGACCCTCACTCAGGAGCAGAGCAGTGTCAAGTTCGGGTCCTGTCCTGTCCAGACAGAGGGCATTTAGCTGCTCAACAAGATCCTGGGGCGGGTTGGCACAGGGACCGTGGTGGGCTTAGAAGTAGTGGGGTCAGCCTCTTACCTCTCCACTTACAACTTCAGGACAGGCAGCCCTCTCTGCTCTGGGAAGCATTTCCTACTGTACCGCCATGGAATTCAACGTCACGCTTGCAAGGGAGCTCGTGCAGGTGAGAGGCCCTGGTGTCCCAGCGGCATCAGCTTCTGGTAGCCAGCCTAAGCAGGCAGTGCGTGTTAGATCACACCTAGAAATGTACTCAACAAGATGAGTTCCAAGTGGCCGAGTGAACACACACACTCTTGAAAAATGATGTTCTTTGTCAATCAGGAAAGCTTGCTGGTAAAGTCCTTATCTCACAGACAAGGAGACTGAGGCCATGGCAGCCCGGGATCCTGGTTACAAGGACAGGCTCTGTGGCAGTGCTGGGACTCAGCTGCAGATCTGCCAGGGGGTGGGGCCTTGGTTTCCTTCTTTGGCCAGTGTTGGTGCTGAGCAGGAGGCAGGTGTGAGGAGCCGCTGCCCTGGTTGTGGCTGCAAGGACAAGCGCCTTTCCCAGGGAGGCAGAACTGCCACATGGCTCGCGTTGTGGGCTTCCCCTTGACTGTTCTGTGGGGTGCAGCCATTTACTGAGCGCAGTGCACGGTGTGCCTCATGAACAAGATCTGCTTTTGTGTTCTTTGAAGGGCCTAGTGGAGAAGGTGTTGGAATCTCCATTTTGTGTAGAGGCTCAGAGGGTTAAAGTAGCGTCTTAGGGTGTAAAGTCTTAGCACTAGCCTGTGTATTACTTGGGATACTGGATCTAAACTCTCACTTGTCATTCAGTGTATGGAGAACTAAAGGCTGGTGTTTTGCCCAAGGATGAAGAGCACCTAGCTAGCCTCTGCTCCTTCTAAAGGCCCTTGCCAGTCTTGTTGTGCTTTGCAACGCTTGTCACTGCCCAACACAACATGATCTATCCTGTTGAGTCTCTTGATTCCCCTTGGATTGGAAGCTTCCTGGTGGTTTTGTTCACTGAAGTATATACACTTTCAAGTCCAGGGCCTGAGTTCCACGTTTGTTCACGTATCTGAGATAGAGCAGGCCTGGAACACCTAGGAACTGTCATTATTCATTTGTTCACTCCACAGATATCCAGGGTGCACCTGCTGGGTGCCAGGGCTTAAGCCAATCTGGACTCACTGCTTGAAAGGGAGTGAGGCTCAAGCCTAGAAGTTCCTCCAGGTCAAGGGGCTGCATTCCAGGGGAGCAGGATGGAGAAGGCATGGGCTGAGAGAAGAGCCCTTTAGCCTGGAGAGCTTTGGCTCCCACCCTGTCCAGTTCCTGCTCTCTGAGCTAATGGCTTTTCCAGGGCCTCTGAGTGCATGGGGTCACCTTTCCCCCTGATGTGAGATGGAGAAAACAGGACTCACTAGCATTCCTTTCAGAAAGGAATTTTGTTTAGAAGGAATACCTTGGCTTTGCCTAGTTGGGGTGGATCTGTAAGACTCTGAGAATGTGTGTGTGTGTGGTTTTGTGTGAGATGGGTTGGAGGTAGATAAGGCAGAATTCTTTTATGAGCCCATGGAAAAGCATGATGCTTCGGGGAAAGAACAGTAGAGAAAGAGGAGGGTAAGGGTTGAGCAAGGAAGGTAGAGAAATGACAGACTTCCCAGCATGAGCCTGTCTTATAGAATGTCCCCACCTCCGCAACACCATCTGCACATGTGTACGGCTAGCAGGATGCAGGTGGCTTAATTCCCAAAGTAGCACAGGCACCCAGTTCTGGGCAGCTGAGTTCTACAAATGACCTGGGAGCAGCCTATGCAGCGAGAGGTTGGATTGGGAGAGAAGTGACTTGAGTGTTAAGCCAGTGGGTTTGAGAGATGACAGGGAGCAGGGGAACTGGGGTTCCCTGGGTTCATGAGCCCTGCGAGGAGTAGCCCAGAGTGTTACAAAGTGCCAGTCTCTTGAGACAGGCTGTTAATGCTTAGCAAGTCCCAAGCCTGTCCTCTCTGATCGTGAATGAGTTTAGAAGCAAACCTGCTTTTCTCACGTCGTGACTAAGTGTCAACCACCAATCTTTAGAATTACACAGTTTTGAAAATTCTGAAAGATAAATAATACACAGGAGAGAGGCTTTTGGACCACAGTGGATGCCAAATGCTCCATTTTTTGTCCATGGAGAAAAATAAAAATGTTTTAAGAGACCCATTGGCCATCTTGCCAATCCTTCCTTCCCTGGAGACTTGGATTTTAGATTCCAGGGAACATGTTTATGCCCATGTCTAGTGATTTGCCAAAGAATGTGAAATTGGCTCATTTGGGCAGCTTTCAATTTTAAGTCTCAAACCAGAGTAACCGCCGGCCATGGCCAGAGATTAAGCAGATGCAAGCCATTTAGGAAGTCAGAAAAGAAATGAAATTAGTATTGTAATCTGATGCTAATTTTTGAAAATAAAAAGTAATAAAATAAAAAATAAACACCTGCGTATTTCAGCAGGGGTACAGAGGGAACTCTGAGTTTGGCTTTCTCTGGTATGTCATGAGTTTTTATGTTTCTCTGTTGAAGACTCCTCACACCTGTGAGGCAGTTTGCACTTGATCCTGAGCAGGTGGACAGGATAAAGTGAGGGCCACCATAACCAGCATGCTGTTGGCCTCCTCTGCACCATGGAGTGTTGTAGCAATGCCTGGGGTTTGATCAGAGATATTCAGTTATATACCAGTTCCAAGTAGCTCTTAATCACTCTGTGGCACAGAACGGGTGGATAGCCTGTAGAGTCCCTCATTTGCACCTGTTTGCACTTCATCTTGTAACACATTCTTACTCCAAATATATTTTGAGCACCTGGTAAGTATCCCACCCTGTGCTAATCTTATTGGAGCCTCCCAGAAGCTCGTTTTATGGACACCTGTCATAAGAACTAGCATTTAAGGCATTGATGCTATGCTAGATACAGTGCTAAATAGTTCATGAACATGATCTTTTGCCTTATCACTGTTTTTGGAGAGGGGAATCAATTTAATATGATGCAGTGGAGGTTCACAATCCATTATCAGAAATCCTGAAGCCACACAGGTTAGGATACAGGGTTTGGGGCATGTGGGTTATATGTTGTCTGTCATGTATAGCATGCCCGATGCAGCCATATTGCATAGCCGAGTTCACGAATATTTATGCAATTGATTCAACAGTCTTGCTTAGTAGTGTGAAGATGATAAATGGCTCATGTCTCTCACAGCCTTGATGTTGACTTAATCACAAAAAGGTGTTTTGTGTTCTGAGCGTCCTGGCATTGTGGATGAGGCCCTGAGGAGCAGCTTATGCTCAGGGTTTCCCAGTTTTGGGTGTTAAAGTCTGACCTCCGATTCCCCGCCGTGCTCCAAAGCTCACATCTGACCACTATCCATCCATCACTGGGTGTGAAGATACTAGAAGAGAGAGATGGCCACAGCCTCAAACTGAAATCTGTCTGTTCCCAACCCTAGGACTGTTCTTACATAAGTGCAACAACTTTCTTTCTAAATTAAATTTTATTTTTGATGATGTTTACATAGTTGAGAAGGATGCATGCCGATGTGAACTACTGATTAGGGTGTGAAAGGGTCAAGGATTAGGGGAAAGTAGATAAGACTATTCTTTCCAACTTTTCTTGTTCTTCTTCCTGTATCTGGGGGAAGAGGGTAAATGGGAAGAAGCTGTTCCCAGCATCCTAACCACTTCTCTACCTGGGGATAGGGGAAGGGGACTAGCCACCTGGTGTCATCCCACAATGCCCCATGTAGAGCAAGCTCAGAGGGTTCCACTCGAGTGATTTCGATATTCTGAAATGCTGTTGATCTCGCTGCTCCAAAGATGAGGAAATCCCTCCAAGGCCCATTGGCTGACATAGTCCAATTCACCCAGATATTTGCTATCAACGCTTGACTGGGAAAGTTCTCCAATTTGTTCTGCCCTCCATCCTGTGCTATGCTATAAGATGTCCTCTGCAGCCCCAATGGACTGTCATGTCTTTCACGTGCATTTAGGCATGTTGTCCACTGCACTGTCTTAACCATTGAGGAAGCCCAGTTGTGACACATGCATCCCATGGTCACACCACAGATCCCGTGATTCTCCCCATGGTTAGAGTTCTGAGTTCAGTGGTTAAGTTGGGGGAAGTCTCCAAAGAAACCTTGTCTGAGGTGACCCCAGACCTGACTCTTGTGTGTGCTAGTCAGTACAGGGTCTAGCTCAATCCATCACCCACATCAGCCTACACACACTCGTGGTTGCAGTTGCTGGGTCAGTTCTGTCTCCAGCCTTATCTCTTATGCAAACTAGTGGATGCTGTGGCTCAGCCCAACCCTATCCATCATGCACTCAGCCCTCATGTACACCAGCAGGAACAGAAACCTAGTCAGAGCAGCCCCCAGTAACCTACATCAGGCCTACCCTCAGCTCTAGTTCCTGAGCATGCCAGTATGTGCAACAGACTGGTCTCATATGTCCCACTCTTATTCAGCTCTCGTACACATCTGTGGATGTTGGAGCCTAGATCAACCCAACTGACCCCACTCTCCAGTGCACACCGTGTGAGTGGGTGCCTCTACCTGTCTAGTCAGGCTCACCCCCAGCCCTGTTTCTCATACTCACCAGGGGGAGTTGCAGCCCATCAGAGAGGTGCCCACGTTTCCTTACCAGGCCCACTCCCGGTCCCGGATCTTGCAGTTTCTTGGTAGTTCTTCAGACTAGCATGACAGGGCTTGCCACCCTCTCAGCACTTGCCAGCTGATGCTGTGACAAAGCCCAACCAGCCTACACTTACTCTGGTTCATGTCTGCACAGTGGATACATTCAGCCCAACCTGGCTCTCCCCTTAACCCAGTTCACATGCAGGCCAATAGGCGTTATAGTCTTGCCAAGCCTGGTCTGACTTGGTCCCAGTTTTCACATTTACCAGTTGAAGCAGAGGTCTAGCAGGGTAGCTCGTGCTGCTCCCACCCCACCACCGGCTCACACTCCATCCCTCAGGTCTCATGTGTGCTGGTTGGTGCTGCGGCCCAGTCTGGCATGGCCCACCTCACTTTGGCATTGGTTGACAGGTGTTGCAGCTTGGCACAGCCTGGTCTACTCCCAGTTTCAGCTTATGCTGGTGGGTGATGCATCTTAGCCCAGCCTGGATTGCCCCCAGTCCTGGCCTTAATAAAAGCTGGCTGATGTTGTGGCCTGACCCAGCGTGTCCCTGGATGTCATGAATTGGTCCAACCTGGACTGCACCAGACCTGACCCACATGTATGCCAATGGGTACTGTAATCTGGCCTGGTGTGGCCTTGATTATTGTGCTTGCCTGTAGAGACTGCATGCTGACAGAGGAGTTCCCCAGACTTCTCTCTCAGGTCTCTTTCCAGTGGCAGATCTCACTTAGACTGGTGGGTTCTTGGCCCAAGCTGACTTAGTCCACCTCCTGTCCCGGTAAGAACAGCGACCTTACCCAACTGGCTCACACTCATTCTGGTTCTTTTTTTTTTTTTAAGATTTATTTATTTTTATTGGAAAGGTGGAGAGAAAGATCTTCCATCTGATGGTTCACTCCCCAAGCGGCTACAACGGCTGGAGCTGAGCCAATCTGAAGCCAGGAGCCAGGAGCTCTTCTGGGTCTCCCATGCGGGTGCAGGGTCCCAAGGCTTTGGTCTGTCCTTGATTGCTTTCCCAGGCCACAAGCAGGAAGCTTGATGGGAAGTGGAGCTGCCGGGATTAGAACCAGTAACCATATGGGATCCCAGCACATTCAAGGCGAGGACTTTAACCACTACGCTATTGTGCTGGGCCCTCATTCTGGTTCTTACCAATGGGTGCTATGGCCCAATCACACCTGGTCCACACCAAGGCACAGCTCTTGCATGGTTTAGTGGGTTCCGAGACCTAGCTCAGTCTGTCTTACACTACCCCGGCTCTCACAAGCACCAGCAGGTGCTAGAGTCTAGCCCAATGTGGACACACCCTGTCCACACTCATGCTGAGGGATGAGGGACACTACAATCATGTCCAAACCCAGATCACCAGTCCCATTCTCTCCCTTACGCGCACCAGTGGGAACCATAACCCATCTGGGGCATCCTCTTAGCTTCCCAACCAGGCCTGTTCCCAGATGCAGATCTTGCGTGTCAGTGGTTGCTCTGTTCTGACCCGGGCTGGCATAGGATATCCCCTGTCTTGACCTTTGCCATTGGATACTGCAGCCTGACCTGTCCCTGCCCGTTCCCAGTCCCAGCTCTCGCTGGTAGGTGCTGCAGCTTAGCCCTGCCCAGTCTGCTCCCATCCCTGGGTTTCATGCAAATGGTAAGTGTGATAGCCTAACCCAGAATGGCCTGCACTCTGTCCTGTCTCCTGCACATGCCAGTGTGCTAAAGTTTAGGCCAGCCCTGTCCAGTCTGCCACACCCCCAGAACCAACCCACACACTTGCTGATGGGTGAGAGCAAGAACCATTGATGCTGACTTCAAGCAGCTTCTTGGAGCCAGTGGGTTGATTCGTGTGCATCCACCTACCTTTTTTTCTTTTCCTCCTGGGCCATAGGCCATATGTGCCATATCACGATATTTTGAAGGAATAAGCCAGAAACTGAGGCTTATACGTGGCCTGGAAGACCCTGCCACTCGGGGTCAGGAATACCATTCGTTATGTAAGTAGTTGTGTTGAAAGCTAGAGGTTGGGTTATGACGAGTTCAACCTTGCTTTTATGTTTACAAATGGAAACATGACAAATAATAGCATCAGGGATGAAAATTCCATGCTTTCTCTATCTGATTGCGTTAATAAAGGTTATAGAGCCCACAAAGAATTGGTGATTATGTAACTTGTCCTCTTAGCTTGTCAAACTGACTGGATCGACCTAATTTTGCCATTGGAGGCTGAGGCCATTTAAGGTAGAACACATTCCTCAGTTCTAGTTAAATATTCATACATTTGACCTTTTAGAGAGGATGTGGGTGGCAGCATTTCTTGAATATCTTGCTTTGCAATTTATTTATTGTTTTCCCTTCTTTTTTTCACCCCTAGGAGAAAATAATGAATGTCAAAGGAAAAGTAATTCTGTCAATGCTGGTTGCCTCAACTGTGATTGTTGTGTTTTGGGAATATATCAACAGGTAATTATCAAATAAGATAAAATGATGTTGAAGAAAATACTGCTTTGGTTCTATTTTATGGGTATCAGCCATGTTACTAACCTGAACTACAATTAGGATGAACTGATGTCATAAATACTGATTCTACTCTTTTCCTGTTCCTGAGCTCTGTGTTGTATTTAAAATCACCAGATCTCCAGAATAACTTTGACTTAGAAGCTAGGATTTAGCCTGGTGTCAAGATGGCTGCATCCAGTATTGAAGCACCTGGGTTCAGTTCCTGTCTCCAGCTTCCGGCTGATTCAGAACCTGGGAGGCAGTGATGGTGGCTCAAGGTGGAGCCCCCTGCTGTCTGCATGGGAGACTGAGATCTCTTTCTTGGATCCTGGTTTTCGCCACATGCCCATCTCCAGCCATTGTGGGCATTTTGGGAATAAACCAGCAGGTAGTATCTCTCTCTGTCCCTCAAACAAATAAACAAACAAATAACTTTTAACTAATTAATTATCTTCTTTCCTGCCATGTTCACATTTGTCTTGTCTGCCCCTTCCATCTCCATAGGCCAAAGTCCAAAATGTAAATCTACATAATTTATGGAAATGACCTTAAGAAATTTTAGACAGGAATTCCTTGAGAAATCCACCCTGCATTTTGCAATCCTGAGATATTTGCAGGAGTTTTAAGAGCCATTCAAGGGTTGAGTTTTCCTGTAAAAACACACACTTGAGCTGCTGGTGATTCATTTGTGTTTGGTTAAAACTTTTGAGTCTCTCTTTCTCGGTCTATAAAGCAAAATGAATGTTGAACCTTTCTGCGTTTATTAAATTGGTCTGTGGGTTTGTCCCAAACAGATGAGCTGCCATTGCGAGTTTTAAAAGAGCACTGTCTTAGAAATTCCAGCTGGAGATGCTTCGGAAACAAAGAAGTCTCCCCAAGCACCTATGGAAATGCGTGATGCTTTGACTGGGTACACTGAACAAGTTCAGCCTTCAGGTTCAAAAAGTCCACTGTCTAATTAGGAGAGGACAGAACTTCTTGCTCGGCACCATTGTGTTATGTTCCTAGTGAGGTGTTTTAGTGGCCTCCAAGCTCAAAAGATAACCTGCAATACTGTTGGAATATCTCTTTTTGATTCTTAAAATCTGAGATTTGATGAGTGCAATGGGACTGTCTCGGCTACTAAGATGAGGCGTTGTACCTTCAGGCACGCCAGTAACAGGAGAACTCTGCAGAATGTGGCAGCTATTAGTCTTGGGGTGCTTCACAGATTTAACTGCTTCTAAAATGTTCACTGTATTCTGAAAAAAACCCACTTTAGGAAAAAAATGTGAAAAGGTAGCATTTCTGACCAGGTTGGAAGCCAGGTTGTTTGCACTGAGGAAACAGTATTTTTTTTTTCCTAAGAAGAGATGAGTCAGAGTTGGGCGTGGGGATCATAGGCCCTTGAGAGATGAGTGTCTAGGCTGGAATGTGGGGCTGCAAGACCTGCACTGGTCCTGAGCCACTTGCCTTCTCTGTGACCCCTGACAACTTAATCGCTCTGTTCTTCCATTTCCCAGTCTTTAAAAATAGAGAAAACAATAGTGTTTACCTCTTAAGATGGTTGGGAGGACTGCATAAAAAAAGCGCTTGGGAGGGCAGTGTGTGGGCCTTAATAAGCACTCAATGAATGCCAACTGCCACCACCATCACCATGCTTCTCAACAACACCGTCATTGTCTTATTCAGCCCAGGCTGCTCTAATAGAATTCCATACGCCGCGTGACTTCACCACCTATTTTTCACAAATTTAGAAGCTGGGGAGTCAGCATCAAAGTGCCAGCTGATTTGCTTGCCCAGGGAGGCCTCTTTTCTTGGCTTGCTGACAGCCACCTTCTCTACATTTCCAGTCGGAAGACAAACTATGACTTTCCTCTTCTTAGTACACTAGTTCCATCATGATAGGACGTCCCTCGTAACCCCATCTAAACCCAAGTGCCTGAAAGGTTCCACCTCTGACTCCCGTCACACCGAGAACACAGCATCAGTGTATGAATTTTGGAGACTGTTATGTTTATTCTGTAATAGTCATCATTTCCATCATCATCATCATCATTTGTTCCAGATGGCAGAACAGGACAGGGTATTTGAGCAAATAGAAGACAGAGGCTTAGCAGTTGGAATAATTTGACAGAAGAGAAGGTGTCTGTTGGGGCTGTTGACTGGGGCCGGAACGTTTACTTGAATAACCTTTAAGCTCTGATTCTGAAGGTTTGGTTGGATAATTTTGGTATTTTGAATTGTATCCAAAGTTGTGCTTACTTCTAGATTTTAGAGTTTTCGTACACAAAATGTGAATGTGGGAGCCAAAGGCTGAGATGTACAGGTTGGCCCCGGCCTCTCAGAGATGAGTGCTGGGCGTGCTCTGCACTGTGGCTGCAGGGGTTCTTGCTGCTGCTCCTAGGCCTCTGAACTCTGGTCACCCCATTCTCTGAAGGGTGGCACCCCCTTCAAGTGAAGGCAGCACATCGTTTGCCACTTTACCACTTGGTTCTGTCATGGCTTGAGGTGAACCAAGGACACTTCCCTTAGACAGGTGGCCAGCACTAAACAAAACAACAAACAAACGATTTATAAACAACTCCACCAAACCCATCGACCATTCATAAATTAAACTTGTTAGTACAGTAGCCAGATAAAAAAAAATATTGTCCAGCAAAGCATTTGACTTGAACAGGATTTTGAAAACAAAAACAATCAAAAAACAACCTGGAATTTTAGAATTCAAGGAAGCCTTAAAAGTTATACAAAACTATGATGATGAAGATGATGGTGATGATAGTAGCTACCAGTTATTGAGTATTTGTGTGTGCCAGGAGCTATATATTACCTCATTCTTATAGTACCCTACTATATCTTTATCCAAAGTTTCTAGAGTGGACATTGAGTCTCAGAAATACCACAGGGTCACATTTTTAGGGAGATTTAGGTTCTCACCTATCTGATTGCAGCTCATTCTTTTACCCACTGCACAACCCTTACTCCAGTGAAGGATTTTTATTTTAAAAATTATTTAAAAGGCTAGCAGGGAGAGAAGGAAAGAGAGAGTGTGTCACATTGTGTTTGACTTGGAAGGGAGTCAGGGTTTTTTGTTTGTTTTTGCAAGTATTCACAAATATTTATTGGGCACCTACTACATGCCAGGCACTGTGCTAGAATCTCACTAGTGAAGCACAGAAAAGGCTGCATTTGAGCTGTGCCTCAGGGCTGGGTGTGCTGAAATATGGTGTGAATACTGCCGTGACTGCTGCGAGGTTGAAGGATTCTGGGGTAGAGCAGGCAGGTGAGAAGGAAAGTTTGTTAAAGATGTGATGTGAACCCGAATCAGCAACTGCTGCCCTGAGTTCTGGGAGGTGTTCTGAGTGCTGTGTTGCAGCTGATCCTCCTCCCTGCCCCCCCCAACCCCCAGCTGCTCTGCATTCCCACCTCCCCTTGCGGGATGCGGTGTCAGACTCCCCAGGTTCATGTACTATGTCTCCTCACTGGCAGGAAGGCCTTGGCATATCACTTCATTTTCCTTTCCCCAGTCCCTACACTGTTAAAACTTGTGAGGATTTCATGGGCCACTGTGTATAAGTTACATAGCACAATGCCTGAGTGTCAGTGACCATGAATATTATCAGAACTAACAAAGTGGATATAGACACTTGAAACTTCAGAGCTTGGTCCAAGGATGGGGTTCAAAGAGGAAATTAGGTGGTGGCAAGGGATGCATCTTCTTTCTAGGAGATATGGAATGCTGTGAGGGTGGGAAGTCAAGGAGGGATTAATGGGCCTTGGGAGAGTCAGAAACAATGAGTGTTTATACATTTCTGAGATGAGGTAGCTGAGGCTGGGCTGGGGAAGGTGTTACAGCTGACATCCTGAACTCTCTGCCAGGCTAGCTCCTTTGTATTCATAAGGAGGACTAATCAGCTTAGGAAAGCTTAGAATCAGGGAGCAATCAAGTGGCAAGTCCTGTCACTTCTGCCCCCAAAATGCCCTCAAATGCGTGCACTTCCTGTTATGGCCCATGGCTGCCCGGAACACTTCTATCACCTCCTAACTGGACTTCACCTCCATTTTTGTACTCTTCTTAGTCTATTCTCCAGTTCTTTTTCCTGTTATAAATGAGGCTATCTCTCCTTAAAGCCCTTCAAGGACAAAATTCCCAGGCAAGTCCCAGCAAGGTCTGGCTTCTGGTTACTTTGCTTTTCATATCTTTGTAGTTCCTCCTTCTTTCAGCACTTTTTTTTTTTTCTGTGTCTGGAATATCCTTCCATCTTCCTCTTCCTTTTTTTCCTGGTGAACTCTTATCCTTCAAAACATAGCTGAAACATCATCACCTCTTCTGGAAGCTGTCAAGATCTTCTTGTTAACTGATTAGTTGTGGTTGCTGTTGTTTTTTAAATGTACGCCTCTATTTTTGAAAGACAGAGAGAGAGAGATCTTCTCTCAGTTGATTCACTCCCCAGATGTCTGCAGCAGCCAGGCCCGAACCAGACTGAAGCCAGGAGACTAGAACTTAGTCTGGGTCTCCCATGGGGCTATCAGGGACCCAAGTGCCTTCCAGGATGTGTGTTAGCAGAAGTTGGAATCAGAAGTGAAGCCAGGACTTGGATCCACTCTGATATTTGGGCATCCCAGTTAGTAGCTTTGCCACTGTGCCAAACACCTGCTCCTTCTTATGCTTTGTCCTTTATGGTGCTTCTTGGAGTAAGAAGGCATGTAGCTGTGACATTAGCTAAACAGGGTTTTACTTCCCTAATAGATTATATGCTCTGCAAACATAGTTTTTGCAGAATTGTCTTGGCCAACACTATCCTTGACGAGTATTCACTGGATGATTGAATAGAGAATTCACATAGCTACTCAAAGCCCAGCTTTTCGAGGTGGCTTTAAGACAATCCCTCTGTATTCGTTAGTTGAAGAAATGCTTATTGGGACTGCTCTGAGCTGAGTGTGCTTTAGGCTAGTGCTGTCTCCTCAGGGTGAGGAATAGCCCCACGGCCCTGCTGGTATCTGTATCTGGCAGGAAAAGGCCCATCTGTGGATCCTTTCTCCTTCTGAAACCATTGCTGGACAAATGGAGAACTATCTTCTTAGAAACAAAAATGACCACTGTAAAGTGAGATTCTGCTGAGGCCTCCTTCCCCTAGACAACCTGGGGGAAACTGTGATTGGACATTTCCCAGCCCCCTGCTATCACTGGCTTATGTTGCAAAGATAGGTAGAAACTTGGAAGTTGTTACGATCCAGGCTCTTGGCTCAGCTCAGGACTCACTGATAATTGTTACAAATTAGATGTTGTCAGTCTAAAAGTAACATATTTTTATTTCTTCTTTGCTTTTAGCCCAGAAGGCTCTATTTTGTGGATTTATCAATCAAAGTAAGTAAACTGGATGTTCCTACATCTTTCACGCTCTCTAACGTCTGTTTACATAGTGGCTAGTAATGACGACACCCAAGCCAAAGCAGGTGGGAAGCAGCTGGATCCTCCACCCAACTTATTTTGTGGAGCCATGACGGGTGTTTCATCCTTGGTCTCATCAGGGGAATCTAAGTGGTGTCATTGGATTGCCCTGCCTTGCTGATAAAAAGGAATCTGGGAAGATCTGTTACATTGTTATTGGGTGAATAAGGGGAAGCCGTTCGAGTTGCTTAATGAACTAGTGTGCATCTTTAAAAGAAATAATTTAAAAAATTAGGAACTTGTCTTTTCCTATGGTTGGTTACTAAGGAGCTCAGAGCAAATATTGTGCTTAGCTGCTTGTATCTGCCCCAGCCTTAATTCCTGTAATAATTTATGCAGTGGTATTAAGTCCTGGCTTTAAGCTTGCTTGCCAAGAAACCTTGGGAACTTGCACAGACCCACTAAGCCAATAAGTCAGTTGTAAAGTGAATGTAAAGGTACAAGTTAACTTTGAAATCCAATTTCATGGGAAGCACATACCTAGGTGACTAACTCATTGTTTCTCTTTCTGTTCCCTCTTGTGTTTTCTATTCTTGGATTGTCTCTCGGTTTATCGTAACCATACCTTTGTACTGGAAGCCATTTGGAACACTTCCTGAAAGCAGGACTTTAAAAACAGATGTCTTCATGTTATAGCGCCTGTTCATGCATTACCTCACCACCCTCTGTCCTACTGAGGGTTGTTGTATCTCCTGGCTTCCCCCTCTCTCTTCCTCTGCAGAAGGTCCCCAGTTGAGAAGACTCTCTCAATTAGGCACTCTGGAAAATGTCTCAAGTGTCTTTCCATCAGTTTCCTGAATATGTTCAGTAGTATTCTCGATTCTTCTCAGTCTGAGGCTGCCAACCATGGGACAACTTTTTTTTTTTCCCCAAGCTGACCTTTATAGTAACTTGAATTCTCCTAGTTTAACAAAAGGGGGCATTCCAGGAAATATGTGATTGTGAGGAGGGGATGCTTATTAACTAATTACAGTAGAAAGCCCTTACCCGTGTATGATTTACTGTCTTCATGGAAGGTTTATCATTATTGAGTCAATGTGCAGAGAGGGAAAATGTCCTATCCCAGTCACGCAACTAGTGAGTAGCAGGGCCAAGGCTCCAGTTTATGGATAAACCCTGTCCCCTCGCCCCTGTCCCTACCACTGACTTCTTACACTCATCCAGGTCTTCTCTCACTACGGGTTTCCCTGGATGAGTAGAATGCCAAGCAAGAGCCCAAGGAAGCAGAGGCTGAGGGACTCAGGGGTGTCCTCCTCCATGTAGCTGGAGCACTTCACTTTTGCTTTATGAACTGGTGGTTTTAAACTATACATACAAAGTGATCTCTGCCATTAAACATCTTTGGGAACCCCCCCCCCCCCACCCCTCTCCACCCCCCCTACCCCTCCCCACCCCCCCACCCCCGGTTTTGGGACTGCCTCATTTTCCAAAAATGTTTGCCTTTTTTTTTCATTTCTTAGAAATCCAGACATTGGTGACAGTAACACTCCGAAGGGCTGGTGGTTTCCAAGCTGGTTTAACAATGGGTAAGGTGGCTGAATGGCGCTGTGTGTGTGTGTCCCCATCTCAGTGTTTGTGGAGAGTCCAGATACAGAGGTTCCCTTGCCCGGAGCTTCTCAGTCACTCACCTTGCTTGCTTACTGATACTTGGTTGGCAAGTAAGACTAGTTGCCTTTGTTTTTCCTGTTAACTTAGGGATGACACCTGGGTTAATGTTTAGATGGCAGGAAAGATAACCCTAGAACAAAGTTCTTAGGATATCTGTTTTATCAGGTTTCCTCCATCTAACCCCCCTAACCCTCCCTCTTGCAATAGTCTGGAGGTTGTTGGGTCATTAAATTGTTAGCTGTGCTGATGTGGAAGAGCAGTAAAAAGGTGGGAAGTGCGCCTTTTCTTCAAAGTATGTCTTTCTGAGTGAATGTTCAGTGATGTGCATCTTTTTCTAGCTGGTTCACTTGGTGCACACATTCTCTCAGAATACTTTTTTAAAGCTTTGTTTTTACAGAGATAGAGGGAGAAATAGAGATCTTGTACCTGCAGGTTGACTCCCCAGATGGCCATAATGAGTAGGGCTGAGCCAGACTGAAGCCCAAGAGTCAGAATCTTCATCCATGTCTCCCACATGGACCATTCTCTGATGCTTACCCAGACACATAAGCAGGAAGCTAAACTGGAAGTGGAGTAGCTGGGTCTTAAGTCAGAGCCCATATGGAATGCCAGTGTCGCTTAATGTGCTATGCTGCAACTCTGGCCCTGAAACATGTTTTCATGAGATATTTATCAGCTGTCCCATCACAGATAAGTCCCCCTCCTGGCCATTCCTGACTTGCTTTCCCTTTGTATTTAGGACTCAGAGTTATCAAGAAGAAGAAGACGACATAGATAAAGAAAAGAGAAGAGAAAAGGAACAAAGAACAGAAGATAACGAAGAAGAGCTTCAGCTCTGGGAATGGTTTAATCCAAAGTAAGACAAGATAGAAATATCACTAGAAGTGCAGTGAACCGTAGCTCAGCAGGACGGATGGGGACTGGGTAGACAGTGGAACCATTCAGAACATCCCTAGTTTAGAAGAGTTTTAGCATGGATTAAACCTTAATAATAGGTTTTTGGTTTTTAAAAAAACCCACATAACTTCTATCTGGATATTTGTATCAAGTGGGTTAGATAACCAGATGATTCTAACAGCAGTTAGCTAAATGGTAATGGAAGAATCATCAGTCACAAAGTACGGGGATGGGAGAGGTCTTCCAGGCCAGTGAATCTGGAATGAAACAAGAACATTCTCTAAGTTTCTTGTAAAAATTTCAAATCTCATGGGGCCAGAAATTCACTCACTGGACAAGAATACACTAAGGTTTATCAAAACTTACACGCTGACTGGCATTTTAAAAACTGGTGATTGGCACCAGCTATGAGTGTGTTCAGGAATCAGTTTAATGGCTCAAAACCAACTTCAAAATAATTAAAGTGGGATAGAATATCAATGGGTATCACATGAACTAAGGATAATTGTTCGAGGAAATTTTTGTTTCTGTAGACATGTGTGTACATGCATTTGCTTGTGACGTAGTACGTATTTCTCACTATGCTTCATGGTCACAAACAGGCAAGGCATTGTGTTAGGCAGACAGGATGACTCCTGTGTTAGCAGACAAGAGGACTCAGCTCAACAGGGTCACATTCAGGAAACTCATGATCTTAGAGTGGCAACAGATGTGAAACTGGCATTTGCCAAGGTTGGGGAAGAGGTGTAATTGACCTGACTGCATGTGAGGTGGGAGCTTGTGGTGAGGCCTGAGACACTGGTGGGTGCTGTTGCCACTGATCAGGAAAGGGACTGGAGGAAGACACATGGGCCTAGGTGCCAGCAGAGGTGATAGGCTCCATTAGGGACTTGTCGGGGTTGAGGTGCTTGTGGGGGGCATCTGTAGAGGGTGCCCACGAGCTTGGCAGGAGGCACAGTGTAGCATAGAGATGGGGAATGAGTCCTGCCTGCAGTTGATTGTTTGAGTCTTGTGGGTTATGATGATAAAGACCCCTTGATCCAGAGGTTTACCCATCCCGGAAGCTGAACTCAAACTCTCTCTTTCTACTCCTCCTCTCTGCCTGCATTCTAGGCTGTTTCCTGGCTTGAGTTGCTGATAGCTTGAAATTGTCAGTAGAATTGAATAATTAACAGTTGGGAAATATAGTCAATTAATTTTTAATTAACATTAAGTTTTAATATTGCTACTTTTTTTTTTCCTGCTGGAGAGAGCTCTCTTTCAAGTAACCGAACTGGACACTGGTTTTCTGACATGGTCTTTCCAAAAGGAACACAGTGAGTGATCATACAGTTAAGGATTGTACAGCAAGCAGGCTGAAGACCTGCCGGGGGTACAACGCTGTCTGATCTGAGTCATCAGTTCTCTCATCCCTAGCCCTAGTTTGATCCTTTATATAAATTAATTGACGAAAGACTTGATTCCTTTGTCCCTTTTTCCCATCCCCATTTACTTTATTTTTTAAAATGGGAATGATGACAACACTCACCTCAGGGTACATGTAGAAATTAAACAAGAGAATCAAGGGGCCAGTGTTGTGATTTAGCACGTTGAACTTATGCCTGAGACACTGTCATCCTATTAGGTTCCAGATCAAATTGTGGTTGCTCCACTTTTGTCTGATTCAACCCTGTGTGCTCATGTATCTGGGAAAGCGGTGGAAGATGGCCCAAGTACATGTGGCCCCTACACCCAAGTAGAAGATGAGATAAAGTTCCTGGCACGTGACTTCATTGTGATCCAGCCGTAGCCATCACAGCCATCTGGGGAGTTAAAACAGTGAATGGAAAAAAATATATATATATATCTTTCTCCTTTCCTCTGTGTAGCTCTCTCTGCCTTTCAAATATTTTTTTTTAAGTTTGGGGTCTTGCCATTCAACTAAGAAATAACTGTGGGACTGAAGCCCCACACAAGCAAGAAACAAGAGCAGAGCTCAGCTTTTCTCAATCTGCTTCAGCTAAGCACAAGGAAAACAGTGTTATCTTTATTTCAGGACAAACCTGGATTTTAACCTCAGTCCCCTCAGCACAGCAGTAGTAAATGTCATTTAAGAAACAATATAGGGTGGAGGCTCACAGCATGGAGTCTATAGTTAGACTGTGGGTTTAAGTCCCAGCTTTCCTGTTTACCAGCTGCATGACCTCAGGCAAGCTACTAAATGCCTCTGTGCTGATTTTTTTTTTCCTCCCCTTGGTAAAATGGGAGTCAAAATAACAGCCACCTCAGAAAGGGCTTGCCCAGTGCCTGGTCCAGCAAAAAGTGGCCACTCATGTTTGCAGCTGTCATTATCAGCCATCTGCCTTGTGGACTTGACAGATTAACTTCTCAGAATCTTGGTTCTCTTACTTGGGTATAACACGCTGCAAGACAACTACAAGACTAAGTGAGAGCGCGTATGCAGCGGCACAGGTTGGTGCAGAGGCCACGGTGGCTTCTTTAGTGACCAAGGATCCCAAGAGCATCTGTGGCCTTCAAGTAGCAGGGACACCTGAAGTGCTGAGAACCAAGTCATGTCTTGGAGACTCAAGACAAGACAGGGTGGGCCAGGAGAGCACCTGAAGTGGGTTTCCCTGCTCTGCCACTTGGACCAGCCTGCAGGTGGATTCCAGCTGTGTCAGGGAACTAGGAGACTGGGTAGGAGTGTAGAGTCAGTTCAAGATTTGGAGTGCACATCCAAGGGACAGAGGAACAAAAGGGAACCTCTTTTGAGATTTCTTTTTTCTGCTGTGAGGTAGGAGCTGGCTTTCCTCTCAGCCTTACTGTGGGAGAACCAGTGTGGCAGACAAATTGAGGGCAGCTTTGTGAACAGGTGTCCATCAGCAAGTGTGAAAAGCAGAGAAGGTTCTCCTTGGCTCATGATTTGTTAACCTCTCTAGATGACGGCCACGCCGTGGCCAAGTGAACACAGCTGGCAGGATCCAAGACTGCTTGGATCACCTGCTTTTGCAGGGGTGAGCTGAGATACTTCCTCCAGCAGAGCACAGACAAATACCACAGGAGGGTTCCAACCTCACCAATGATGCCCTAGTTTCTGTTTCCTAACACGGAGAAATGTGGCCACTTCCTCAGCAAACGGGGGCTTGGAGCTGAGTGGCCACCTGCCCCCTGCTCCCACCTGGAGCTCACCCTCCCTTGGGGCCTGCTGCTGCTCTGTCCTGTCTGGCTTTTCCTGGCACAGTGGCATGCTTTGTCACTGCTCTGACGTTGCTTCCTGTGTTTGTGTTGGCTTTGCCAAGCTCCTTTCAAGCTTCCTGAGTGCAGAAACACACCTCCCTCTGGCCCCTTTTGTGCTTGTCTTGGAGACAATGTGATTTCAGGGAGAATCACATTGTGGCCCAGCTGTAGTTGGTTGGGCTTCTGTCAAGTTCCTTCATTTCTGGGTGTCTCTGTCTCCTGTACAATAAATGGTAATACCAGAATCCCCTCAATTTGGGGTCCTATTTGGCCAATAATCAGATTCCTGTCTGAAAAAAACCCTTCTGGCAAAAGGAGAACAGGGACACCTTGTTCTGTTTCGGCTCTAACAGCATCTTCCCAGCCTCCTTATTCGGGCTTGGGGTCTTCTCAGAACCAAACGGTACCCCCAAGGACAAATCACATAAAGATGCCACTGTCAGCTTAGGGCTGGGGAGGAAGGGAGAGGGCTTTGTAGTAGGAGGACAAACAAAGCAGAAGAGAGGAATGGGGGTGTGAAATATACAAGTAAGAGATCCATGAAGATACCCCAAGGCAGCTCTCGAGGCACCAGTGCCTTACCCCAAAGACGCTGGTTGCTCCTTGAAGATGCCACATGACCCAGCCAGCTGCCTGACTCCAGCAGCAGTCAAGTTTCAAGTCCAGTCACTATAGATGGCACCTGCTACATTTTAGTCCAGACAGTCTCTGTCCCATCCTACAAAGATATCCTGATTCAAGGGTCTGTGTGTTGTTGTTTTTTTTTTTCCACCAGGAAACGCCCAGAGGTTGTGACAGTGACCGGATGGAAGGCGCCAGTCGTATGGGAAGGCACTTACAACAGAGCCATCCTGGAAAATTACTATTCCAAACAGAAAATCACTGTGGGGTTGACAGTTTTTGCTGTTGGAAGGTAAGTGTTGCCAATGACATTATCCTGCACTTTTTCTCTCTTGTTCCACTATCAAAATGTTTTTTGTGAGGGGAGCCTGGCACTCAGAGTCTGCTTTGAATGGAGTTGTCTGAATGACTGGAGAGAAGGCTGCTCAAGCGAGACCGTTCTATTCTCCTGCTTGCTGAGGTCCCCGAAGATTGAGAACACAACCGTGATGGGAGAATCCATGCCCTTCCCCCTCAGAGTGGGGTCTTGGCAGAAATACTCCCATGCTCACTGAGCAGCACACTTGTAACCACCTCCCCCACTGCCTCCACAGCGTCCATGGGGATCCCAGTAGTGCCGGCTGGTGAGATTTCTTGAATGAGTGTCCTTTTTCAGTTTCTGCACTCTCAAGGCTGAGGCAGAAGGATTTGTAGCAAGTTCTGTGTGTAGAACAGTGGCCTGAGACACTATGTTGGAGCAGGGCTGACCACTGTTCCATGGGTTCTTTGGGTCACTTCTGCCTTATCAGGCCTAGGGAACCTGTCCCTGGGAGAACTGGCTAACTACAACTTGTTCTTGCAAAGGTTGGGCAAGTTCTCTTCTATTTCCTTATTCAAAACATTTGATGCAGAAAAATGGGCAGTAACTCTGGCTTGAACGTTCTAACTGTAATAATAGGTTTTTTAAATGACATACTTTGGAGCAGGTGTTATGGCAGAGGGGGTTAAGCTGACGCTCTCTGCACTGGCATCCCAAACAGGAGAGCCAGGTGAAGTCCTAACTGCTCCATTTCCTAGCCTGTTCACTACTAATACTCCCAGGAAAGCAGCAGATGGCCCGAAGATCTGGGCCCTGATAGTCATGTGGGAGACCTAGGTGGAATTCCTGGCCTCTGATTTCAGCTTAACCCATCCTGGCTTTTGCTGCCATTTGGGGCTCGATGAAAAATACTTTCTATCTCTCAATTCCCCTCTTCTCATTTTCTCTCTCTACCTCCTTCCCCATGTCCTATTTTCCCTCTCTCTTTACACTCTATTTTTTGAGGTTTTGGAGAATTTCACCGCTCTCCTTTTTATCAACCAAATAATTAAACAAACAAAAGCCAAGAATTTAAAATTTTTTTCCCATCTTACCTCCTGGGTCTTTCTCTCTATACCTTTCCTGAAAAAGCCACATGTACAAAGAGAATTGGAGTCTTGGGTTGATCTGAACTTGACCTTGGTCAAGATAGGACCTAAAGGAAAGCTCTGTGAAGATGGGATAGTTCATCTGAGATACCCTTCTGCAACCTGGAGCCTTCTGGCCATTGTTGTTACTATTGTTACAATACTGATTTTTTTTTTCTTTTTAAGATTTATTTATTTATTGGAAAGTCAGATATACAGAGAGGAGGAGAGACAGAGAGGAAGATCTTCCATCCAATGACTCACTCCCAAGTGAGCACAACGGCTGATGCTATGCCAGTCTGAAGCCAGGATCCAGGAACTTCTTCTGGGTCTTTCACACCGGTACAGGGTCCCAAAGCTTTGGGCCGTCCTCAACTGCTTTCCCAGGCCACAGGCAGGGAGCTGGAAGGGAAGTGGAGCTGCCGGGATTAGAACCGGTGCCCATATGGGATCCCGGCGCATTCAAGGCGAGGACTTTAGCCGCTAGGCCACGCCGCCGGGCCCTCAATATTGATTTCTAATGTCATTGAATGTGCTGATCTTTGGAGCCAAGTGGAATCTGTAATAAAGAAGGCTGACTGGAGTTTTGGCATTTTAACTGGAAGCATCGCCATTGCTGGTCAGGAGAGCTAATGTTCATGTCACCTGATCCTTTGGCACAAAGAGGGACAAGCCAGCCATGTTGCAGATTGAGTTGATCCTAGTGTTTCCCAAAAGAACAGAACATTGGCCCACAACGACTTCCAACTGCAACTCTGCAGAACTGAAGTGTAAGCCACATACCCCGGGGGAAATGCTGTGCTCTCAGCTGAGACGAGAGGGCAGTTTGTACTGACTAGCAATAAATCTCACTTAAAGAAGTGGGCTCAGACTTTGAGAAAGTGTCATGTTTTGCTTTTTTTCGAAAACAATTATGCCTGGAACCAAGTGCAGTACTTTAATCTCTAGTATTAAAGCTCACAGTGACTCTCACCCCTCCCATCCTCCACACCAATATTATTTCCCAAACTCCAGGACACAATACATTTTTCTGAACATTCCATCATACCAAATAATTTCCTGACCATGAGCCATAGAACCTTGTAAAAATTGCTCTTTGTACTGCTCAGATAGGTTTTCTCCACTTAAAGAATCAATACGGACCCGGCATGATAGCGTAATGATTAAGGTCCTCACCTTGAACATGCCAGAATCCCATATGGGTGCCGGTTCTAATCCCGGCAGGCCTGCTTTCCATCCAGCTCCCTGTTTGTGGCCTGGGAAAGCAGTCAAGGACGGCCCAAAGCCTTGGGACCCTGCACCCGCGTGGGAGACCCGGAAAGAAGTTCCTAGCTCCTGGTTTCAGATTGGTGCAGCACCAGCTGTGCGGCCACTTAGGGAGCAAATCATTGGACAAAGATCTTCCTCTCTGTCTCTCCTCCTCTCTGTACACCTGCCTTTGCAATAAAAATAAATAAATCTTTAAAAAAAGGAAAAAAAAAGACTCAATACTAGAAGACTTTGGGGGCCAACATTAAAAGCACAGTTTCTTTTGTTAGCGAAGAAGGGAAATTCAAGATGTAATAAACACAAAAATGAAGTAACAGTCACAACACTTACAGCAAATTAAATTCAGTCCACATGCATGTGCTTGAGTCTTGGGTTCAGAGGAAGTATGTTAAGCCATCTAATTTCTTCTTCCTCTTTCCTATGATCTCCAAAGCATGACTGAAGATGATCTGTAGCTTTGGCCTGCAGAAGATATTAATGTAGTGTTTTTTGAGTGAATGAACAAACAGTTAGTTAAAAATACCACTGAATACTTATTAAAATGGTCCAAATCAAAAACAGTGATAACACCAAATACTAGCAAGGATGTGAAGAAGCAGGAACCCTCTGTAACTGTTGGGAGTGGCTCTGGAAGACAGCTGGGTATTTATTTACTTTAAAGATTTATTTATTTTTATTAGAAAGGCAAATTTACAGAGAGGAGAGACAGATCTTCCAACTGCTGGTTCACTCCCCAAATGGCTGCAACAACATGAGCTGAGCTGATCCGAAGCCAGGAACCAGGATCCTCCTCCAGGTCTCCCACATTGGTGCAGGGTCCCAAGGCTTTGGGCCATCCTTGGCTGCTTTACCAGGCCATAAGTAGGGAGCTGAATGGGAAGTGGAGCAACTGGGACAGGAACTGGTATCCATATGGGATGCTGGTGCTTGAATGTAGAGGATTAGCCAGTTGAGCCATTGCACTGGCCCCAGCAATTGGTTATTTATTATAAAACTAAACATGCTGCTACCATTCAGACCAGCAGTTGCGCTCCCTTGGTACTCAGATGAGTTGAAAACTATGTCCACACAGAAACCTGCACATAGATTACTATTCCAACTTTATTCATAATTGGCCAAAACTCGGAAGCAATCATGTTTTGCCTCAATAGGTACATGGAAAAACAAACTGTGATGCATCAGACAATAAAATATCTCCCAGTGCTTAAGAGAAATTAACTGCCAAACCAAGACATGGACTCCCTTAAATGCATATTATTAAGCAAATAAGCAAACCAGAAAAAGCTACATACATACTGTATGACCCATCTATATGACACTGCGGAAAAGGCAAAACTATACGGATAGTAAAAATATCAGTGGTTACAAGAGGTTGGGGAAAGGGAGGGAATGAATAGTAGTTTGCCAAAGCCCATGGAATTTACCACAGGAAGAGTGAACCAACCCTACTATAGACTAGCACCCCAGGGTGGTGATTGCCTATCAGTGTAGATTTGTCTGTTACAATCCACATACTACTCTGATGCCAGGATATTAATAGTGGGGGAACTGCATGGCATGTGGCAGGGCAGTAAGTATAATGGAACTCTTAGTACTTTCAGATCAGTTTTGTTGCGACCCTGAAATTGTTTTTAAATAATTAATTTTAAAGAAGGGGGCAGGCATGTGGCATAAGAGTTAGACACTGCCTATGGTACCTGCCTCCCCTATCAGTGCCTGAGTTTGAATTTTAGCTCTGCTCTCAATTCTAGCTCCTTGCTAATGTGCACTCTGGGCTGAGCAGCTGATGGCTCAAGTAGTTGGTCCCTGCCATCCATATCAGAGACCCAGGTTGAGTCCACCACTCCTGGCTTTGTCCTTGGCCCAGCTCTGGCTGTGGTGGCCATTTGAGAAGTAAACCAGAGAATGGGAGATTCTCTCTTTGCCTTTCACATAAAAGTTTAAAAATTTTAAAAACAGTGAAATAACAGGTTATTTGTGTTGGGATGGATTGGCATTTTGGGTAACTAGAAGGAGGTTGAGAGGATGACCATGTACTATGGATGGAGATCCATGTGTCCTTGCCCTCTATGTCATGTGAGAGAGTGCTAAAGATCGAGTTCCCTGCCTCAGTGGACCCAGGGGGATCACATCATCCTTTCATCTGGACTGACAATATTAATATTGGAGTAAATATTGGAGTTTTTAAAAACTAGGACGTCTTTGTGCAAAGTTTGAATGTGTTGTTAACTGAGACAAAGGAGAAGGTTAGGCACGACGTAGTAACTGCCTGACAGGTGAAGCTGGTGTCTGAGGTGCAGGCTCTGCGCTGCCTACATACTGCACTGTACAAGTAGTAAGACTGAGGCACCAAGGCACCTACAGCATTAGAAGCCACAGGCCTCCAGACAGATGTTGGAATACAGCCTGCACTGCTAAGCTTACTGGAAGGCAGACCAATTGAAAACACGTGCTTTCTTTCGCTCTTGGACTGGCCAGCTTCCAAGAGCGAGAGGACAGGGCTGTGCACGCCCAGTTACTCTTCCAAAATTGGCAATCAAGTAAGTCATTCCACCCCAAGGACTGAGTGACTGAATAGTGGCTGGAAGCCAGGAGCGTTACACTAACAGATGTCCCTGCACATGAAAGGACACATCTGGGGTGGAAAGAAATCTCCCTGACTGTAAAATAGAGGCCGGATGGTTATAACAGCGTGTGGTCCCATGCGGTAATCCTGGAGCTTCACTGTTTCGTGTTCTTGGTTTCAGATACATTGAGCATTACTTGAAGGAGTTCATCACATCTGCTGATCGATACTTCATGGCTGGCCACAAGGTCATATTTTACATCATGGTGGACGATGTTTCCAGAATGCCTTTGATAGAGCTGGGTCCTCTACGTTCCTTCAAAGTGTTTGAGATCAAGCCGGAGAAGAGGTGGCAGGATGTCAGCATGATGCGCATGAAGACAATCGCGGAGCACATTTCTGCCCACATCCAACAAGAGGTGGACTTCCTCTTCTGCATGGATGTGGACCAGGTCTTCCAAAGCAACTTTGGAGTGGAAACCCTAGGCCAGTCAGTGGCTCAGCTGCAGGCCTGGTGGTACAAGGCAGATCCTGACGAGTTTACCTATGAGAGACGGAAAGAATCGGCAGCGTACATTCCATTTGGACAGGGGGATTTTTATTACCATGCAGCCATTTTTGGAGGAACACCCCTTCAGGTACTCAACCTAACCAAGGAGTGCTTTAAGGGAATCCTCCAGGACAAGCAAAATGACATAGAAGCTGAGTGGCATGATGAAAGCCACCTGAACAAGTATTTCCTGCTCAACAAACCCACTAAAATCTTATCCCCAGAATACTGCTGGGATTATCACATAGGCCTGCCTTCAGATATTAAAGTTGTCAAGATATCTTGGCAGACAAAACAATATAATTTGGTTAGGAATAATGTCTGACTTTAAGGTGTACCAGTAGGTTTCTGAAATTGAGAGTATTATTCTGGCTACTTCTGCAGAAAAGTAACAATTTAACTTAAAAATCTACTAACAGAACACCAACACAGCAAACACACACTTATTTCTCCTTGTAGCTTTGAGCCTTGTCATATGGGGAAAATGAACCTGTGGTAATCATGTGTAAATTCCCAGTGGTTTCTTATCTGTTCTGGGTTTGGGGAAAATACTGTCAGGTGAATCAAAAGGAATCTATCATAGGCAAAGAAAAAGCCAGAAAGACTACACGTATCAGATACTGGAGTAAAGTGTGCCAAGGGAAGTATTTGGCAGCAAGATATGGCTAAAGGGGTTGGCCGCCTTGGTTTCTGTGTCTTCTTGTGTTTTGGGGTGAGTTGTAAGCAACAGAGTTGCTTTACAGCAGGTGAACTCAGCAGTAAGGACACCATCTTGGTCATTCAAATGAGCTTCAAAGCAGATTGTTTTAGGCCATTTGCATCCTCTTCCTTTGCCTCCTCAGGATGTTGTTTGTGAAGGATTAGTGGAGGTCCCCAGTGCTTGTCATGGTGTGTGTTCCACGTTCTTGGGAGTCAGTGAGAACTGAAGACAGAACATCCCCACCTGAGCCTGCCGTGGAATAGCAGAGAGAGTGGAAATAGAGGTGGGCTTGGCTTGTCGTTGTGGGGCAGTGTCACCGTGAGTGACACAGAGCATGGGGTTGGCACTGGACTGTGTTGCACATCCAGACACTGAACTGGAAGCGTTGTGTTCAGTCTCCTTGATGGTGTGACTAAGACAGCAGCAAGCACTTGAATGGATGGAGCTTCCTGCCTTGCTCAGGTCACACGCAGTCGGCTGCACTCTCCCGCTCCTTGGTGAGGAGAAGGGGAAGACCCAAAGCAGATGGCCTCAAGGAGTTAACATTTTCAGTCCTTAGCATGCCGCTCGTTCTAAACCTCAGGATGCCTTATGATAACCAGCTTGGAGAGCTGACAGCAACCAGTGGCCTGGAGAAAAAACCCTTCTCAAGATCCTTGTGTTTCACCCCGCTTCATTTGCACCGTGGAAGTATAACGACCAGAAGTATTTGACGAAACAAGTTAACTGATACCCAGGCATCTGACTTAACCACATTCAGATCCTTTCTCTTAAGAGAAGCTGTGAAATCCTACATATTATTTGAATGAATCAAATGTCAGGTAAGCTAGGGGGGCAATATTTACATATGCACGTGTATTTATATTTGGGCTGTGCTCCGGTTCAAGTCCTGTGTTGCCATTTGTAAGCCGCTTATTTGAAGAGCCGCTGGACTCGTTTGACACGTAATGCCTTATAGGCTTCTTGGACAAAAAAAAAAGGAAGCCTGCATTCTCTGTTTGCGTCAGTGCCTCCTACTCTTCAGTTCCTGCTGAGAAGTCGCACATCTGACAAAACAAAGCAAAGCGAAAACCCTGATTTTGTGTCTTGAAGAGGTGACTTCTGTCAGTTAAAAACATGGCGTCTCTGTTACTCAGATTGTCATGGGTCCAATCTAGACTAGGGGAGTTCAGAGGTTCGAGTCTTGAACCAAAGAGTCAGCTCTCTCGAAAGTAGGGCTGATGTTTACTTTTTTGAGAATTTTCTGATTTTTAAATTCATTTTTATTCCAAGTGGGCAAATTAAATATCTCATTTAATTGATCATTTTAAATGTTTTTTTTTTTTTTAAATAAAATTCCTGATTTACAATTGAATAAATTATTTTCTCAGTATATTCTGGTCTGGTCATGGATTGTGCATTTTCTCCTAGAGATGTTTAGAATTGTCAATTACAGAATTTTAGTTTCTTAAACTCAGAAAAGCCCCCATACCCTTCTGAAAATGTTCTTACTATTACACAAACAAAAAGAATAGGTATGAGATTCATTTTCAAATTTTGTTATATAATATATATAACTATATATATATATATATAGAGAGAGAGATTTCCCATTCCTTGGTTTATTTCCCAAATGCCTGCAGAAAAAAGTCAGGATTTCAGAATTCACTCTGGGTCTCCCAAGTGGATGTCAGGGGATCCAAATACTTGAGTTATCACCCGCTGCCTCTCCGGGTACACACTGGAAGGAAACTGGACTCAGAAGCAGAGTTGAAAATTGAACTTAGGCACTCCGATATGGGATGCAGGGATCACAAGTGGTATCTTGCTGTGCCAAGTGTCTGCTCTATAGACTTTTATTTTTAAATATTTATTTTGTTTGAAAAATAGTTACAGAAGAGAGGAGTAAGAGAGAGATACTCCATCTGGTGATTCATTCCACAAATGGCTACAACAGCGGGGGCTGGCCAAGCCAAGGCCACGAGCTCTCTCACTGTAGGGCAGGAACCTAGGCACCTGGGGCCATCATTTGCTGCTTTTCAAGGCACATCAGCTGGGAGCTGGATTTGGAAGTGGAGCAGCTGAGGCTCCGGCACCGATGAGGGATGCTGGTACTATAGGACTATGGCTTAATCTGGTATGTCACAATGCTGGCCACACCCACGGGCTTCTAAGACAGCAAATGCTTACAAAGAGCTTTCCAGTGTGAAGCACTGAAATAATTAACTGCCAGTGGAAGGAATGTGAGGAACAGGCTTGGCCCTGAAGCCCAGGGTGGGGCGCCAAGCAGAGGAAGAAAACAATGCTATAACCCTATCTGGGAGCTATTAGTCCTTTCCTCTGGGGAATGTATCTGGCCAAAGGGAAAGGCTAGGTTTCCAGAGAATCTGGGCAGTTATATTTACAAGGGTATTTCAAAAAGTTGGTGGAAAAAAAAATGGAATTTAAGTTCAATTTATTTTGGTTCTGAAAAAGTTATAAAATCTGTGCATTGTTTTTCCATAATATGTATTTTACAAGAAATTTTTGAAGATCCTTTGAATAATATGAAATCCAGCAAAAGGTGCCGGATTTAAAACACAGCATAGTCCCCATAATAAAGAGTTCTCCCCATTTTTTTCAGTGAGGAAAGTGAGGTTAAGAACAAGCAAGCTACTCGTTTGCTAAGTGGCTGAGCTGAGGACAAACATCACAAGGACAAATGTAGTGACACCATCCACACAAGGGCTACATTCTTCGAAAATCCAATTTGTAAGAGGCATTTGGGGGCCTGGTGCAATCTGAAAGTGCAAAGCTAAGATTCAAACCCCGGACTGACTAAATCTGATGCTGTTTTCTTCTTCTTTTTAAAAATATTTTCTCTTTGTTGATTGTGATGGCTTTTTTTTAAAGACTTATTTTTTATTGCAGAGTCAGATATATAGAGAGGAGGAGAGACAGAGAGGAAGATCTTCTGTCCACTGATTCACTACCCAAGGGACCCTAGTGGCTGGAGGTGTGCCAATCTGAAGCCAGGAGCCTGGAGCCACTTTCAGGTCTCCCATGTGGGTGCAGGAACCCAACGCCTTGGGCTGTCCTCAACTGCTTTCCCAGACAGCAAGCAGGGAGCTGGATGGGAAGTGGAGCTGCCAGGATTAGAACCGCTGCCCATATGGGATCCCGGCGTGTTCAAGGCAAAGACTTTAGCCTCTAGGCTACTGTGCTGGGCCCAATCTGGTGCTCTTTTCACAGCTCTAGGGCTACCTCCCTCTCTTTACATATATACACATACACACAAAAAAACTTTGAAATTCATTCAAAATTCTTTTGCTAGGGAACTGAGTAGAACTGACAATGCTTCAAGGGCAGGATGTAGGTCTATAGCTGGAAAAGCATGAACATGAAGCCAGAGCAGGCACAGGGTGCATACAGTAAGTACAAGGGCCAGGGAAGTATGGAGGAATGAAAGACCTCTGGGAGCTGGAATTAGCCTCTTGGCTGGGCCTTGAAACAGGAAGAGGTCACTGTGAAGAGCCAAAGGAATGAGGCTCCAGAGGCAGATGCAGCCGTGGGGATGGAGGGCTGCAATAAGGCTTTCGCAGAAACCCACAGAAATGGGACAGATCATGTGAAGGTTCTGGCTGGTTGACCACATCACACGTACAGCATTTGTGGCTCTCTCCCTTCCTAGCAAATCTAGACTCCTTTAGGGAATCTATGTTATCACAGTAGAAACTTGTTCCATAGTTAGAACAGTGGCAGAGCAAGTGACCTAGGCTAAGCCAGTGAGTACTTTAAAAATATTTATTTGAAAGGCGGAATTAGAGAATCTCCCATCCTTTGGTTCACTCCCCAAATGGCTACAATGATTAGGACTGGGCCAGGATAAATCCAAAAGCCAGGAACTTCTGCCAAGTCTCACACATGGGTGCAGGGGTCCAAGCATTTAGGCATTTAGAACTCCACTGCTTTTCCTAACACATTACCAGGGAGCTGGATTGGAAGTAAGAGTCTTCAGGACTTGCACTGGTGCCATGTCCTAACATTGCAGCCGGCAGCTCAAATCAGTGTGCCACAATGTCAATCCCCCAACCAATGGATACTTTCTGTGCTTCTGGTGGCGAAGGTTGATTCAGGAGTGAGCAGGTGAGCTAAACTAGCCCAAACACAATGAATTTCAGAAATATGTAATACTGGAGCTGCTAGACAAAAATGGGGTTAACTTTATGTTTTCATTAAATTTTTAAGTGTAAATTACAAGGGGAAGGGACTGCGGACCCATGTGGGCTGCCAATCTGGGTGGAGGGTCGGGGAAGAAAGCTGACGAAGGAAATGCGTCTGCTCTTGCTCCTGTGATCTGAGGTGGGAGATGGGAGGAACAGGGTGCACTGTTCCTTGCTGTCAAACCACAGCAATGGCAGGGGACAGAGGGGGCCCGTCTCCTGCTGCCATCTCAGAGATCCTGATGATGGATGGCCTGGGTGGTGGAATGACTTGACTGACAGAGAGAGCAGGGGAAGTGTGCTTTCTGGCCTGTGGTCCTATGCTGGCGGGCCAGTTGTCCGGATCTTGGCCCCTCATTTTCTGAGTTCTTGCTGCTGGTTGGAGACTTCCCCTTCAGTGGGTGTGGCTGTGTCCCCCCCACTTCCTCCTGATGACTCTAAGAGGTGGTTGGCTTCGCTGAGAGGTGACCAACTCCATCTGTTCTCTCTGAGTTCTAAGTCCTCTTGGTTGTCTGTATCTACCACAGAGTGTCCAAGACTCAGATGTTTGTTATGAAACTTGGTCTGTTGAGTTGTTCAATTTTTTTTCTTCCCATCCTGAAGGAGGTACCCCAGGTCTTCTGTTGGAATCAGGGAGTTGACTGTCTTGTGTTTTGTGTGCATCTGGGCATGTTTTTCAACCTTGCATGGGGGTCAGTGATAAAGGTGGCTCAGTCTTGCAGCATGTGTCACGAAGCTAGACCACGCATCTATGGAATATTCCCTAAGATTGGAGATGATCCTGTTGGTCCAAAGCACTCCTGAAATTCATGGATCCTACTCCTGACCATGAGGGTGTCCCAGGTGTGTCCTTGTCCCCGAGCAGGTGCTACAACCCAGCCCAGCCCACCCCACAACCCTGGCTCTTGCAAGCACAGGAAGAGTACACATTGGTCTAGTCAGAGAGACTCCCCCCAAAATCCCAACCAGGCACATCTCTAGATCTGAAGGTGCAACAGCTGGTCTGGCCATCCCCTATCCTGGCGTCAGCAAGTGCAAAGGCCTGGGAGGGGAGACAGAAAAAACCCTACCTGGCTGCCCCCAGAACAGGCTCTTGTATGTACTAGCAGGTACTGCAGTCTGGCCCAGCCCAAACCCAGACCCAGCTCTCAAGTGTACTGGCAGGTGCTGAAGCCTAGTATACCTTGTCCTCTATCTCCCCCAGACTCCCCCTCATATCACGGCCACCCTAGTTCTTATGATAACCAGTAGGTACTTGGACCAGATCAGGAAGACCCTCCAGAACCCCTACCAGACCAACATTAGTTCTTCTTCTCTCATGTGCTGGCTGTTGCAGTAGCCTTGCCTTGGGAAACCCCCAGGTACCTTGTCCTGCACCCCAGTCCAGCTCTCTCACCTGCTGAGGTCTTAGTGGCCTGGTCTGTGGAAGTCCCAAGCAGCCACTTCATATACCTTAAATAAACCCTCAGTGGTCTCCTCTCCAACCTGCTCCCAGTCAGGCGCACAGCTGCAAGGAACTCTGTAGCTCCTGGCAGCGGTGGGAATCTCCTAGCACCCAACCAGATGCTGGGCCTTTCCTTGATGTGCATCCGCTGGGAGGTTAGCTTTAGGATAACATCGACAATAGGAAAGAAAGACCAGGGACACTGAAGGAAATCCAGTGATCGGTAACACCCCTCAGCCACTTGCTCTAGTCTTAACATAAGGGCTGTACTGCCTGGGGGCTTTTCAAATGAATGAGCCATTAATGTCATATTATAGTTTAAGGTGGTTGGAACTAGATTTTTTGTTACTCATAACTGATAATATCACCCCATTGAACTCCTGTGTCATTGTTAGTTCCTTAAAGACAACACCACAATCTGCCTTTTCATCAGCTCCAGCACTTACTAACATTACCCATCTCAAAGACCCTACTTAGGGCATTTAGTAAATGAGTGGATATGTCGACCTTCACCTGCATTTTGCCTCCCAAGAAATGTTTTTCTCTAATAACTCTATGTTTGGGCTGTGGTGTGTGTCTTATTAAAAAGCAGATGCTTTTTATGTCAAGCATCTGGAACATTTGCTCTCTAGTGCACAGTACGAGAACTCAGGAATTGCAGCCTGAGCTTCAGGATTAGACTTCAGTCTGGTGCCAAAATCAACTCGGTTCAGTGCTGCTTCAAGGTCAGAGATTAGTGCCTGGGGTCTGCTTCATTAGCACAGAGCAGTGCTTCTAGGCCTGGGACTGGCCCCCACCTCATCCACCCATGGGGACAAGGGGCAGTGGTGATGAGTGGAGACACTTTTGGATTTGTTGTGGGGGCGGGGTGGCTTTGAAAGGTGTGATATCAGCAAGGGATCCTGCTGAACAACCCATAATGCACAAGACAAAATCTCCCACAACTGGCTTAAAAATTGGTATAGAGGTTGAGAAATCTTGGTATAAAAATGCTCTTGACCTTCATTAAGAAGCCAATATTGAGGAGCCAATATGTCTAATTCTCCTCTGTCATGGAATTAGCTCCCGAGAGGCATCAAAGACCTCTGCCTTGGGGCTGGCATTGCAGCATAGTGGATAAAGCCACCCTCTGAAATGCCAGAATCCCACCTGGCACTGATTCATGTCCTAGCTCCTCTACTTCGGATCTAGTTCCCTGCTAATGACCCAAGAAAAGTGGCAGAGAATGGGCCAAGTACTTGGGCCCCTACCACTCACATGGTAGACCTGGTTCCTGGTTTCCATCTGGGAAATGAAACAGCCAAAAGGGTTGGAAGATCACTCCTTCTCTGTCTGTAACTCTGCCTTTCATATATATATATATATATATAAAACATGTATTTTGTAAAGACTCTGTCTCATTTCCTATTTTCCTGCTAACATTTGCTGTTGAGACAGAAGTTACTCCCTATACTGGATACCAGAGGGCAGGAACTTCCAAATATGTTAACCTGTGCCACTGTAGTGATTCCAACAATTCTTTTCTGAAACGGCTGAGGACTCTGCATATTTGCAGGAACACATTAATTTTTCATATACATTTAAATGACTATAAATGTTTAAAAGATGCAGCTGTGAAAAGCTCAGCAAAGTTAGGACACTTAGTGAGCTGGCTGAAATTATTTAGCAATAAGAGGAGATTTTAGTTCAGTGTGTTTTTGTCGCAAAGAGCAGAAACACTCATGACCTATTTGAACCCCCAAAAATGTTTCTTGAGAGGCTGCCGTCGAGTACCATGGCATACAAGGCAGAGTTGTTAAGAAGACAATGGTATGCTGAAGCTAGCTTGTGAGGGACAATTATCTGAAATATTCCCTAAGTCCCCTTCCCTGGATGTCATAGTGATGGCTTGAAATAGGCCATAGTGGAGCTATTTATACCACGGAAAAGCCAGGAAATGCTAGAAATTGGAATTATTTTCCTTTCGCTTTCCCCTGCCCCACTATCTCTTCACTCCTTTCTTTTTGCTCTTTCTCTAAAGAATTATTTTTTACAAAGTTATCCTACGCCATCATTGCAACCAGACCATGAGCAAGAACTTGGGACACTAAGGGGCCTCAATGGCTGAGACTGTGAGCTCCCCCTAGAGGCTTGCTATGAACACGACCCAGCTCCAAGCTCCAGTCTCAGGGGTTCTTCCTTCAAAACTCCAAATTTCTAGAAAAGAAAATCCAGTGCACGCATCTACTCCTGCACCAGCAGCTGAGGCCCTGGGCTGGCTTTACTGGGAGGTATGATTACATTATGGAGCAGTTTTAAAGAAATATTGTTGTGAATTGGGTATCTATCTTCTACCCCTTTCCACTTAAGGCTGCCCAGCTGTCAATCACTTCTCCCACACATCTTAAAATACTCCCTTTACCCAGAAATTCAGAAATTGAATGCAATCCACTACTCCAGCATACCCCTTCTCTTAAGAGCAGATTGCTAAATCCATAGGTAATTCCATAGGACCAGGCTTCCCAGACTCACTCTATTTACTTACCAGATCACTTCATCTGACTGTTCCACAACCTGCGAAATAAATGGTATGTTTAGCTCAGACCCAAACACGTATCAGTCAATATTGAGAGAGACGGTGAAGAAAAAATGAGGTAAACTCCAATTTTAAAGAAGAAGATTATAATTACTTGTTCAAGGGGTGTTACGGTTTGAACACGGTTGTCCTCACCAGAACTCATGTTGGGATCTGGTCACTCATACTGGGGTGGGTAGCAGGCATTAGAGCTTTTCTCATGTGAATGAGCTGTTGTTCCATGGGATTGGACTGGTTGCCAGGGGACAGGGTTGTGATAAGGCAGCCATTGCGCCTCCCTTATGTCCCCCTTTCCGCTGTCCTCCCCTGAGCTGATTGCCACAACGGCTTTACCGGAAGCTGGACAGACACAGGTGCCAGGCTCTCAGGCCTCAGCGCTGCGAACTAAACACACCCCTTTTCTTTAGAAAGTTCCCAACCGTGGGCATGTGTTGTGGGAGTACAAAATAGAGTGTTCTGGAATTTAGTGGGTCTCTGCTGCAAGTAGAGGCTAATCAACGTCTTCATCCACCATTCCAGTCCACTTCACTCCCACACAGGTGTGTAAGGCGTGACTGGTCCTAAGGGTTTAATGGCAGGCTAACCTGTTGATTGGACCAGTTGAAGACTTTTGTTTTTTCCGCTCAGGGTCCCATTGGGAGTTTGTTGCCTTTGCACTTACTAGCTGAGTGCCGTACTGCTTCCCAAGTCCAAAGACGCTCATGAGTTATGGCCCCTCTCTTAGCGGCAGGGAGTATAATTCATTGCTTTTTAAGTTTGGCAGTACCCTGAAATTATGTGGCAAGCTAGCAGTCATGCCTGCATCCCACTTACGGATTCCAATTCAATTAGCACAGGGCACAGTCTATACGTAGGGAGGGGGTATTTTTGTTTTATTTTTAAGATTTATTTTATTATTATTTGAAAGGCAGATTTACAGAGAGAAGGAAAGATAGAAAGATCTTCCATCCACTGATTCACTTCCCAAGTGGCTGCAATGGTCAGAGCTATGCTGATCTGAAGCCAGGAGCTTCTTACAGTGCTCCCATGAGATGCAGGAGCCCAAGGAGCCATCCTCGCAGCTTTACCAGGCACATTGAGAGGGAGCTGGGCCAGAAGCAGAGCAACAGGGCATGAATCGGTGACTACATGGGGTCTGGCGCTGCCAGCAGAGGTTTAGCCCACTATGCCATGGAGTTGGGCCCAAGAGCATGGGGAATTTCTAAAAAGCTTTTCACAGAATTCTAGTATGCAGCAAAACTAGAGAGCCCTGGCCGAAAATTCAGGAAGCTGCCCTATGACTTCCTACGTGAGGTTTTTTCTTCTCTTTATTACTTGAGATTTCTAAAATTAATAGATCTGTACATTTATAATTTTGGGGAGGAATCCAATTTTGGGGGGAATCCAATCACATATATGTTATACTGCTTTATGTTTTACATCACTGAGGTTTGGTTTTCTTATTCTAGCAATTACTTTCACTTTTCCCACAGAACGATTAAGATCGAATTATTGTTGCGACATTGAATTTCCAATTCTGCAGAGTGCAACCTGTTGGTAACTCTAGCTGGTAGCGTTCTTATTTCAAATAGGGAACTTTTAGAGAACTTTTAAAATGTCCATTGCTTTTGTGGCTTTGATTGTTTTGTTGAGAGTTCCTGACTGTTCATTTGCTTTTTGCCAAAATTCTTATTAAATCCTTAAACACTTTTTATTATCGCTGCGTTGAAGTCCTCCCAAGTCTCTGAATTTATACTGTTTCTCTGAGGGAGGGACAGCATCGACTCCAGGTGGGCATAAGGAATGTCACTGGGGTCTTGAAATGTTTTTTTTTTATTGTTACTTTTAAATTTTTATTGGAAAATCAGATATACAGAGAGGAGGAGAGACAGAGAGGAAGATCTTCTGTTAGATGATTCACTCCTCAAGTGGTTGCAATGGCTGGAGCCGAGCTGATTCAAAGCCAGGAGCCTCTTTAGGTCTCCCATGTGGGTGCAGCGTCCCAAGGCTTTGGGCTGTCCTCGATTGTTTTCCCAGGCCACAAGCAGGGAGCTGGATGGGAAGCGGGGCTGCCAGGATTAGAATCAGCGTCGATATGGGATCCTGATGCATTCAAGGAGAGGACCTTAGCCACTGTTGCAGCCACTTTGAAAGTGAAGCAGTAGGTGGAATCTTTGTCTCTCCTTCTCTCTGTAAATCTGGCTTTCCAATAAAAACAGGTAAATTAAAAAAAGAGAAGCAGAAAAGTAGCTTAAAGGAGTTTTATATTTTCCTAAAATAAGACAACGTTTAATTCCCTAGTAATGATAAAGAAACGCTACTGGCATTTTAATTGTTATGATTACAGCTATCTAATTCCTTCAACATCAGAAAAGAAACTGATGACATCACAATTCACAGAAGACTGAAATAACCAACACAAACTGGAGTGCCACAGCCCCAATACTGGCTGGCTGAGTCATGAGTTTCCAAGGGACTCACAATGTTTTGTTTGAAAACTGTTTGCCCTCTGAGGCTCCTCCACATATCTTTTCAAACTACTGTATCATAAATGTTAAGAAACACCAGTGAAGAATCTCAAAATTTTATGAAGCAAAGGTAAGAGATTATCTTTTTAACAATTTTAATTTTAGATGATGTTTATGTAGTTGATCAGGGTGGGAAGGATTGAGGGTCAGAGAAAAGTAAGTGTGATCATTGTTTCCTAGTTTCCATTTCTTTTTCTTGTATCTGAGGGGGAGGAGAAGACAGGGGAGAAGCCATAGACAGCCTCCCAACCGCCCCAGGACTTGGGAATGGGGGAACTGCCACCCAATATTAATCCAGGGTCCTGATGTGGCGTATGCTCTGAGGGCTCTGCCCAGGTGGTTTTGATAGTTCTGAAATGCTGTTGATCTCACCAATCCAAGGATGAGGGAACATGCTCAATGTCCATTGGCTGACATAGTCCACGTTAGGATCTCCACATGCCCAGATATTTGCTGTTGGGCTGGGGTAGTTATCCAAATGTCTCTGTTCTCCTTCCTCTGCTATGGTAACAGATGTCTTCTAAAGGCTCCGATGGGCTGCCATATCCTCTATGTGGCTCTGGACCAGCCATCTACCTACTTCGTCTTTTTCACTGAGGAGGACCAGTAGAGATTATTCTTAACACTAACCATATTTAGCCTATTCCAATTTATTTTTTTTTTTTGCAAATAGGCAACTAGTTATTAGATAGATTAAATAACACAAAGGAGTTTCATAATCTTGATGGCTAAAAATCCAAGGTCAATGCACAAATAACCTTAACATTACGGTTGATCCTCCAGGTAGTGAATCAATCTTGCATTCAAATAGTTTTAAGAAGGAGCACAGGTTTTATGCTGCTGTCAGACTTAGCTTTCTTGAAATGATCAACTTCATAATTGAAATAGGCAATAATATTTTTATAAATATCTCTCTTGCTGGAAGTTAGGCTTGGAAGTACCATTTTTACATAGCTTCATAAAAATTTATTTGTTTTTACTGGAAAGGCAGATTTACAAAGAGAAGGAGATACAGAAAGATCTTCAACTTGCTGGTTCCTTCCCCAAAGGGCCTCAACCAGAGCTGAGCTAATCTGAAGCTGGGAGCCAGGAGTGTCTTCCCAGCCTCTCACATACGTGCAGGGTCCTAAGGCCTTAGGCCATCCTCTGCTGCTTTCCCAGGCCATAATCAAGAACTGGTGCCCATATCGGATGCCTGGTGCTTTCAGCTAAAGAACTAGCCTGTTGAAGCATCATGCCGGCCCCGTTCATTTCTTTATAGAGTAAAAAGACAAATGAAGGTAATAGGATTGTTGACATCAAGGTCAGCCAAGACGATTTAATGTCCTAAAATGTTCTCCAGCTAATGTTCTAAAATCTTGTAAAGTTTAGCTCAAATAAAACTGCATAGAGACACCCAAGGAGCAGCAGTGCCTTAACTGTAAGTCAGTGTGTTCAAATCATGGTGAGGCAGGGTTCGCCTCAGCCTGCTCTGCAAATATTTCATTCCATCTGTTTCTTTTTCCTCCCAGGAAAGAATGAGACTGAAAATAATAATTCTATCATCATTGATTTTATTGTCTTTATGTGCTTTGTATAGGAAGTATTATTTCAGGTAACTATGAAAACTTAATGGGTACTTTATTTTGATTTTGGCAAGGATCTGGTATGTCTAAAAGCTGATGGACCCAACCCCTGGATAAATATATAAATAAATAATAAATAATTCCATAAAAACAAATATACTTAAATGATATTAAGAAAACTGCATAACACTAGCCTTCAACATCTAAGTCCTTAGTTACTAATTCAATCTAAAAACAGTTTTTATTGCCCATATGTGAGAAGAGAATGTTGACTTATCAGTCGCTGTGACAATATAATGTTAATAAATGTTACAGAGGAACCGCCATTTTGTTGGTATCTCATTAAGAAACATCTTTAATGCTAGTGACTTCAGGTTCCATACACAATTATTTTCTCTCCAAAACTTTGAGACAAGTAGAAATATTTCATTGGCAATTAGTAAATTTCTATCATGCTAATGATATTTGGTGATCTCTTTGATCTGTATCTCAAAGAATTAGATTGTGTATATTGTGCCTCAAAGAATTAGACTGTGTATGTTGTTGCTGAAAAGATGTAATTTATGAGGTCCTTAGCTGTAATTATTTTTTTATCATGTTCACTACTTACTGTATGTTTGTAATCAACAATAAACCTGGTAACACAGTATATGTTCAGACATACTTAGTACTATTAGGTATCAAAATAAAGGGATTGATGGATCTTGGCTCTTGTCATTTTATATGTGGAAACCCTTTATATGCATTTAAAAGTAACATAATATTTTTCATTTGTCCTAAGCACAAAGAAACTACAGAGGGTGTATGAGTGTTGGTAAGTCTTTATCTACAAATATGTTATGATCTCTTTTTGGATAACACAACTGGTTAGTAGGCATTAGAGTCCCCATGGGTCCTTAATTCCTGCATGAAGAATAAACCAAAGCAAGATAATTAAGGTCAGAATGCTAGGAATAAAAAAAAAAAAGAACAGACCAGCAGGTCAAGCTCTGATAGAGGGAGTGAGAAGTGATCAAACATCACCAGGAGGCAAAACCAGTCCCCAGTAGCTTTGGGAACTAAAGTGCTGGGCAAACACACAGGAATAAGGACTAGGCTAAAACATTCTCAGGAGATTGTGATCATAACATGCTACCTGTAAGACGGCATCATCACAACGTGTGGAGAAAAACATTCCTAGAGAGAGGGCAAGACTCATGGGAACCTACGCAGTGAAGAACAACTTTGCTTTCTGATCTTTATTGCGACCAGGAGACCTGGTATCTCAATGATCCTATCATTCACAACATCCTCACATTCCTTTTTTAAAAAAACTAATTTATTTTTATTGGAAAGGCAGATTCACAGAGAGGAGTAGAGAGAAACATCTTCTATCCACTGGTTCACTCCCCAAGTGGCTGCAACAGCCTGAGTTGAGCTAATCTGAAACCATTAGCCAGGAGCTTCTTCTGGATCTCCCACGTGGATACAGGGTCCCAATGCTGTGGGCCCCCTCAACTGCTTTCCCAGGCCACAACAGGGAGTTTTGGCATAGGCAAGGCCATCTTCCAATGCTTTCCCAAGCCACAAGCTGGGAGCTGGATGGGAAGTGGAGCAGCTGGGACATGAACTGATACCCCTATGGAATACCAGCTCATGCAAGGCGAGGATTTAGCCGCTGGGCCATTGTGCTGGGCCCAGCTTGCTTCTTTTCTAATCCAGCTCTTTATGACCTGGAAAAGCAGCAGAGGATAACCCAAGGCCTTGGGGCCCTGCACCTGGCACCTGTGTTGGAGATCTGGAAGAAACTCCTGATCTCCAGTTTTGGATTAGCTCAGCTCTAGCCATTGAGGCCATTTGGGAAGTGAACCACTGGATGGAACACATCTCTGTCTAGTCTCTCCTTCTCTCTCTATATATATAAAAAAAATTTGCCTTTCAAATAAAAATAAATTCTTTTTTTAAAAAATTAACTTTTAAGGGCCCGGCGCGGTGGCGCAAGTGGTTAAGTCCTCGCCTTGCACGCCCGGGATCCCATATGGGCGCTGGTTCTAATCCCGGCAGCCCCGCTTCCCTTCCAGCTCCCTGCCCGTGGCCCGGGAAGGCAGTGGAGGACGGCCCAAAGCTTTGGGACCCTGCACCCGCGTGGGAGACCCGGAAGAGGCTCCTGGCTTCGGATCGGCATAGTATCGACCCGTTGCGCTCACTTGGGGAGTGAATCATCGGACGGAAGATCTTCCTCTCTGTCTCTCCTCTCTGTATATCCACCTTTCCAATAAAAAATAATAAAAATAAATCTTTAAAAAAAAATTAACTTTTAAAATTGATAGTGAGAGGCAGGAGAGGGAGAGGGATGAAGTAAAGAGTGAGAGAAACAGCAAAAGGGAGAGATTTCATGTGCAGCAGCAGGAAGGGTAGACAGGGTGGGGAGGGGAAGCCGGATGGCAGTGGGAACTAAACTGCTCAAGTCAGCACTGCTACTTTCTAGGTCTGCATTAGCAGGAAGCTGGAAGCAGGAACTGGAGGCAGGCATCGACTCCATGAGCTGCAATGTGGACATGGGCCTCCAACAGGCATCTGAATCATTACTAAGCTAAATGCTTGTCCCAATGCCATATTTCAGTCACATCCTTGACATTGCAGCTACTCCTGTGTACACACAGACAACGACAGTCTCCGTAGTTGTCCAGTTCCTCCATTAATTTAGCCACAAAAGCGCCTTATAGATAGTGTGCCATTTGAGCATAACAGCAAAGAGGAAAAGGAGGATACAGGCAGAACTGCTTCTTTCCACTTACATCTCTGAGTATGGAATGATTCTGTGTTTTTATCTTGTCAGTGCAGATAGATCCATGAGCTAATGAAGGTCTGAGAAGGAGGGATGATGACTTTAACATTCAACATCTTCATTTTGTGTTGGCTGTTTAATAGTCAAGCAGAGGACTTGAGAACATAGTTTTAGTGTCTAAGTCTGAGTTCATGGGAGAAATCTGGATTGTATATAAACATTTGAAATCACAGAAAAGTACCAGAGGGGTCCCGGTGTGATGGCTCAATGGCTAAATCCTCACCTTGCAAGCACCAGGATCTTATAGGGTCTTGTTTATGTCCTGGCTGCCCCATTTCCCATCCAGCTCCCTGCTTACGTGGTCTGGGAGGAGGGTATTAGAGGATGGCCCAAAGCCTTGGAACTCCACACCCACGTGGGAGGCTCAGAGGAAGCTCCTAGCTCTTGGCTTTGGATCAGCTTAGCCCCAGGTGTGGCAGTCATTTGGGGAGGAAACCAGCAGATAGAAGATCTTTCTGTCTTTCCTTCTCTCTGTAGATCTGCCTTTACAATTTAAAAAAAAATTTTAAAGAAAAGTACCAATGGAAAGTATCAAACGATAAAATTGTGAACTAGGAGAAACCCATCTGAGGCTAATTGTCAAATCTGGGCTCCTAAGAGAACAGGATATTTAAGGCTAACCTTAGAGAGAAAGTAGGGATAAATTTCCATCGTGAAAGAAAAGACGATGTTCAGTGCTATGGGTAAATCTGCAGATGAGGTGGCCCAAAGTTGAGGGAGCTTTCCTCTGATGTTTATTTTCTCTGTGAGTTAGAAGAATGAGAACAAAGGAGATAAAGATTTCCAGCAGCACAGAGAGTTGAGCTAAAATTACAAATTATGATTTTTTTCATGCCACCAGCATCAAAGCTCATCATTGTTTTTCTTATTGTTTCACTCTCATTTTTCATTTTGCTGCATCTTAATGCACCATGTAAATCATTAAGTGATTTTATAGACAGTTACCTCAAACTCTGGTTCTGGCAGATATGGTGTAACTCTTGGCATTATTTTCCTTCTAGGTATCTGAAAACTCAGCCTAAGTTACAGCCTTCGGACTGGTTCTATCCTATGTAAGAATCCAAATCTTGCACGTAAGAGGTGAACAGATGGCAACACTACCAAGCTGGCATTCTAAATATTGGAGAAGAGATGGATCTTTGATTACATCCTTAAAAAAGAATTAGGTGGTGGTTAACCCATGGGATCAGACATTTGGACTCATCTTCCATGAGAGTTTAAGTCACATCAGCTCAAAGGTTCTAGAATAACAACAGGTCCAAAATGTGAGGGTGCACTTGAGATTGTTTGGTTGGTTGTTTTTGTGTGAGAGAGAGCTGGAGCCCAAAGGGGGCAGTTGGGATGTCTGTGTACTTCATGCTTTTAACAGCACCTTTTCTCTGGCCCCTCGACTTCCACTTGCTGCCTCTACCCACCCAACTTCTACCCTCACGCCCTGGGCGTTAACGCATTTCCCTAATTAAAACTGTGAAAGGAGACACTCAGGCTACGATCATTATTCAAGATCGTGGCTGGTGTCTGTCTCATCCTCTCATGACATCATAACCTTTGTCAGAGACTAATCAGGGCACAGAAAGACCACCACTTACATGACGAATTATTCATTACAATTATGCATCGTGTAGTGGCAAGGATGCATTCTGGAAACCGCCTCATTAGGATGATTTGGCATTGTTGGAACAGCTCAGTGTGCTTACACACAGATGGCTATGATGTCATGAGGGGATGCAATTGTAAGAGACCACTCTCATGTGAATAGCACGTGACTGCAGTACAGTGATCAACAAGGGAGGGAAGCCTGCAGAGAACTTTAAGGTATCACGGAGATAAACAGCTATGGGAACTATTTCCCCTGGGGCTGAGGGCTAAAAGGAAGAATCTGGAATTATTTAACCCAGAGAGGAAGCTCCTGGAACTTGAGGTCGGCTGCTGCTCAGCTGGTGCTGCTGTCTCCAACCTTTGTGCGGGCAGCTCGTGCTGGGAAGCAGCACCTCTACGGAGGGGTACCACGAGGCTGGTCTTGAGGGCGTTAGAAAAACTGAAAATCGACTTCAACTGTTGCTCTACTAGGCATTTGATAGTATTGGGGGTGAAGAAGTGTTGCTGAGATAGGACTTCCCGGCACAGGAAGCACACAAGAAACCCACACAAAACAGGAAAGAGTGTTTCTTCCTCTTCCCTCCGCCTTGCAATGGTCCTCGCATGGAGGAAATAGCCTGCCAAGGCTCCAGCTGGCAAAGGAGAAGCAGCAGTCTCAACTCCAAGCTGATGCAGCAGTCTCGGGTGCAGGTTTACTCATGAAGACAACAGCCTGACATGCTCGCTCCCTCACAGGACAAGCAGGGCAGATCCCCCTTACTTAAGGTGACGATTTTTCACACAATTGCACAAAGGAGAAATCCGTATAATCACCTAAATAGATTCCAAATAGGCTACTGATATACTTAAATTCCTATTGCTTTTTTTTTTTTTAATTTACTTTTATTGTAAAGTCAGATATACAGAGAGGAGGAGAGACAGAGAGGAAGATCTTCCGTCCAATGATTCACTCCCCAAGTGACCACAACGGCCAGTGCTGTGCCGATCAGAAGTCAGGAGCCAGGAGCCACTTCCAGGTCTCCCACGAGGATGCAGGGTCCCAAAGCTTTGGGTCGTCCTTGACTGCTTTCCCAGACCACAAGCAAGGAACTGGATGGGAAGCGGGGCTGTCAGGATTAGAACCGAGCCCATAAGAGATCCCAGCGCGTGCAAGGTGAGGACTTTAGTCACTAGGCTATGGTGTTGGGCCCCTCCTAATTGCTTTTTTTTTTTTTTCTTAAAACTGAACACCTTTCACAAGAAAATATCCCTCCCCACAATTTTTTAAAAGATATATTTGTTTGTATTGGAAGGCAGATTTACAGAGAAAAGGAGAGTCAGAGAGAAAGATCTTCAGTCTGCTGGTTCAATCCCCAAGTGGCTGCAACAGCTGGAGTTGAGCCTATCCAAAGCCAGGAGCCAGGACTTCTCCTGGGTCTCCCATGTGGATGCAGGGTCCCAAAGTCGTTGAAAATCCTCTGCTGATTTCCCAGGCCATAAACAGGGAGCTGGAAGGGAAGTGGAGCAGCCAGGACAGGAACCGGTGCCTGTATACGATGCAAGGCTTGGACAATAAGCTATCGCGCTGGGTCCAAATAGTGGCCGTTTTGTAAGTGTCAATTCAAATCACTTTTTAAAATTTTCTATTGGATTTTTTTTTTTTTTTGGTCTTACATACTTGAAGGAGGTTTTGAGTGTTTAAGGCACAATTTCATTGTCAGCTATATATATTATGGTACGTTTTCTTTGTAGCTCACATTTTTAAAATTGGGAATGAAATTCACAGAACATCATATTCACTATTTAAATGATACAATTAAGTGGGTTTTAATATGCTTACAATTTTGTGCAACTATCATCACAGTCTAAGGCTAGAGCACCATTGCCATACCAAAAAGAAAAAGGAATCTTACAACGATTGAGCAGTCACCCCCAGCCCTCTCTTTGCCCAGCCACTGACAAACATGACTCTACTTTGTTTCTCTGTGAATTTGCTCATTCTGAACATCTCATATGAACAGAATGTAGCACTAGCCCTTGTGTTTGGTTCTTTTACTTAGTATACTTGCAGGGTCCACACAGGCATGGAATGTATTTATACTTCATTACTTTTTTTTTTTTTTAAGATTTACTTATTTTTATTGGAAAGGCAGATTTCCAGAGAGAAGGAGAAACAGAAAGATCTTCCATCTACTGGTTTACTCCTTGAATGGCTGCAACAGCCAAAGCTGAGCTGATCTGAAGCCAAGATCCAGGAGCCTCTTCAGGGTCTCACACATGGGTTCAGGGACCCAAGGACCTCAGCCCATGCTCTGCTTCTTTCCAAGCATCTGTGACTCAAAACTGGTGCCTATATGGGATGCTGGTGCTTGAAAGTGGAGGATTAGTATGTTGACCCATGGCTTCAGCTCCACTCCATTGTTTGTTATAGCTGAATAACATTCCATGATATGGACATTGCACACGCCTATTCATCAGTGAATGGACATTAGGTCATTTCCATTTTCTTTGTCTCTTACACATAATGCTAAATATTCATGTAAAAGTTTTCATTTGACATCTATTTTCCATTCTCTTGGGCACGTACATGAAATTACTATAGATGGAACTGCTGTAAAAAATACAACTTAAACTGCAATGAGTACAGTTTCAGTACATGACATGTTTACATGTGTGTGTTTTATCTCGACAATACATTGTGGTTTCCTTTAACAGTTAGTGAATGCTTTTTTGTAAACTTTAAAAAATTATTTTAATTTATGTTTTCTTCATTTTTTTAATGTGGGGGTTTACTTTTCATTGTAAATCATAACTTTTGGTATGTTGCGTTTTCAATTAACGTTCATTTCAGTGTATTTTCTAATTTTCTTGTGATTTTCTCTTTGACTCACGAGTTATTTGATTTCTTTAACTTTTTTTTTGTTACTGTAAAGAGAGCAGATTTTATGCATTCCACGAATACAGTTGCAAGAAGTCAACCGCACTTTCTTCATTCTCTGTCTCCTCCCCAACCACATCTCTTCCTCTTCATGTTTTCGCTGAGTCACAGTTTTAACTCATGCTATATGTATAGGCTTCACTCGCCACAAACCATGACTTTGAACAAGCTAAAAGTAGGAAGAAGACCCCAGTTCCCTAAAACTGCAAAGAATTCCCACACACTGTGTCTTTTTCAGGTTCTCTGCTGTTGGTGTTTAATCTAATTGTGCGATCATGGAGAAGACATTTTGTTAGCTTCCAATCTGCTTAAAGTTAATTGAGATTTATTTTATAATCTAGCAAATGATCTAACCTACAGAATGTCCCCTGTGTATCTGGGACTGTATCACGTGTGTGGTTCTGATTTTTCCCACCTGTTCACATCTTCTGTTGAAACTCTGTCAGTTTTCATTTCAGTTGTCAGACTTCTTAACTCTTTTTCATTTCTTTATTGATATTTTCCATTTGTTGAGCTATCATTTTTTGTTTCAAATATATTCCATTCTCCATTTAGTTCTTTATAGTTATTTAAAATAATTTATTTGGAGTTCTCATCTAGTCCTTGTCCCTTCTTTTGGACAATTTCTGTTAATTTTTTTTTTTTTCTGTAAATGACTCATACTTTTTATGCCTCATCAATTTTTGTCAAAAAACAAAAATTTTTAATTAATTAATTATTAACAAAAACAAACAAGCAAACATTTGGGGTTGGCCCTGAGGCACAGTAGGTTAACCTTTCACTACATGGGCGCCATTTCAAGTCCTGGCTGCCCCACTTCCCACCCAGCTTCCTACTAATAGCCTAGGAAAGCAGCAAAAGATGGTCCATGTCCTTGGGTTCCTGTTGCATCCACCTGGGACACTCGGAAGCAGCTCCTGGCTTCACACCAGCCTAGCTCTGGCCACAGGTTCCGGCTCCACGCTCATGTGCCTGGGAAGGTAGCAGAAGATAATCCATGTGAGAAACCTGGGCTTTTTCCTGGATCAGTCATAACCATTATGGCTATGAAAGAGCTCTTTTGTTGTGTGTGTGTGTGTGTGTGTGTGTGTGTGTGTGTGTGTGTGTGTGTGAGAGAGAGAGAGAGAGAGAGAGAGAGAGAGAGACTGATTCTGCCTTTCAAATAAATAATCTTTTTTTTTAAAGATTTATTTATTTTTATTGGAAAGGTGGATATTCAGAGAGGAGGAGAGACAGAGGAAGATCTTCCATAGGATGGTTCACTCCCCAAGTAACTGCAACGGCTGGAGCTGAGCCAATCTGAAGCCAGGAGCCTGGAGCTCTTCCTCCAGGTCTCCCACACGGGTGCAGGGTCCCAAAGCTTTGGGCCATCCTCGTCTGCTCTCCCAGGCCACAAGCAGGAGCTGGATGGGATGTAGGGCTGCCGGGATTAGAACCAGTGACCATATGGGATCCCCAGGTGTGCAAGGCGAGGACTTTAGCCACTACGCCATTGCGCCGGGCCCTCAAATAAATAATCTTAAGAAAAACATTTTGAATGGTGTAAGTTGGTCAGTCTGTGAATCATTTTTTTTTTTTAAATTTTAGAAATCACACTTTATCCTCCTCAGAATTTTTTAGGTGTTGATTTCCAGTTTTGCTTGTATAGTGCTACCCTAAACTCTTTTTTGGAAGGCTGTGTTATCTTTTTGATTTCTGAGATTTTTGTTCCTTTTAATTATGACTGGTGGTTGATGAGACATTTCATTAAACTCTTGAGAATGGGAGGTGATACTGAAAAAGATAATGGAGGAGGTAGATAGGGTAAGGAGGCTAGGAAGGAAAAATGAGGAAGAGGAGTCAGATGAGAGAGTCACAGAGGAGGCAGAGAGGGAAATCCTCTGAGTCTACACAGCCTGGTTCTGTGTCAGGACCCTCCCTGAATGCTTAGCCTGGCTGTTTACAACTCTGCCCTTGCCTTAATTTCCTGTTTACACTGAGTGTAAATATCAGCTAGAGGTGAGAGCTAGTCGTCCCTTCACGTGTTTCTTTGCATGGATCCTGCCCTGGGCATATGTGTGCGTTTTTTTTTTCTTCTTCTTTTAAAGATTCATTTATTTGAAAATCAGAGTTACAAAGAGAGAAAGAGAGAGACTCTTCTACCTACTGGTTCACTCACTCAAATGGCTGCAGTGGCTAGGGCTGGACCAGGCCAAAGCCAGGAGAGCTTGGAACCCGAGCGCAGAGGCCCAAGCACTTGGCTCATCTTCCACTGCTCTCCTGGCTCATCAGCAGGGAGCTGGAACAGAACTGCAGCGGCCAGAACTCAAAGCAGTGCCCATATGGCATGTTGGTACCGCAGGCATGGCTCTACCCATTATGCCACAATGCCAGCCCCAAGAAACTCAGTTTTAAAAATATGGTCTTTGAAAATAATCATCAGGAAAAGCAAGAACAGGAAATTTGGACTAGATTTTGGGATAATTTTAAGTCTGTGTCCTCAAATATACTGCGATCATAATACAAATGATACAAATTCTTTTTTTTTTTTTTAATATTCTAGATGTTTCTATTGTACTGCCTCTTCAACTTAACATAGCTAATAAGATTTTGGCTTAGGTGTAAGGAAATGCTTCAATCTGACATCAGACTTTATGCATTAGTAATATCTCCTGCTGCTTCATTGTAATATATTTTGCCTAAAAATGTTATGTCTTTATTTCAGGTCACACATGAACATGACCATGACCACATGGTCAGCTCCTATTGTGTGGCATAACACTTACAATGAGTCCGTCTTGGAAAATTACTACGCAGAACATAAAATTACTGTGGGGTTGATTGTGTTTGCTGTGGGAAGGTAGGTAATGATGTCAAACGTCCTTTACCCTCGAGCTATTGGCTGTAGAAAATGGGAGGCAGTCTACCGAGGCATCTCATAACTTCATTTAACGTTTATGCTCTCAAGATCAATTCCTGACATCATTCTAAATATCACCACCCAGTTGAGCCAGTCAAAAAAACAAATTCCCAATATCTCAGCTTCTTTTATCTATTTTATAATCCTCTTCCAGTTTCACTTTCCTGGGTCTGCTTGCAACAATTTTAAATAGCTTTTGTTTCTACACACATTTTTGTCTCTTCCAGCAAGTCTCCATTGTCTTTACCCTGGAATAGCTCAAAAGTGGTCGCACCCTTTTGTACTTTCGTCATGTCATAAACTGCTTTCATATAAACTTACTGCACGGTGCACAGCGGCCCCTCCCAAGTGGTTCAGTGTACACAGGAATACGCAGCATAATCTTAACAGGCTGTGTTTTCTATCAATAATTGTACAAAAAAAAAAAAAAAGACAAATGCAGAAAATCTCCCAGTGATTTTAAAACAAAAGCTCATACCTAATTCAAATGGAAGATTAAAACCATGGTGATGGACTTTCCCTTGCGTAAGCAGGGAGCTGGACCATAAGTGCAGCATCTGGGACACAAACTGGCACCCATAAGGTGGCCAGCACTGCAGGTGGAGGGTAACTTGCTAAGCCACTGTGCTGGCCCTGCAAATGTAGGTTTGTAAAACTTCGTTTTAAACCTTTGTCAAATTAATGGTTAAGAATGTTACATTACTATAGTCTTAATCATCTGTGATTATTTTAAAATTTACTGTATGAGTGAAATGGTCATTTTCTTGTTCAATATTGTTTACAGCCACTGAGTTCCCATTAAACTAAGGTCTTCTTGCTCTTGACTTGTGAAGTATCAAGCATTTTTTATGGTGATATACATTTAAAATATTATCTCAAAAACTGGAAAAAAATGAGAAAGTGAGAAGGAAAGAGGGTTAGAAGGCGGGAAGAAGGAAGACAGGAATATCATTACATTTTTATAATTGCACCTACAAATTGCATTGCATCTGTTAAAACACTAAATTTTTAAAAGTATTTATTTTAGTTTTATTGGAAAGTGAGATATACAGAGGAAAGGAGAGACAGAGAGGAAGATCTTCATTCCACTGATTCACTCCTCAAGTGGCAGTAATGGCCAGAGCTGTGCCAAACTGAAACCAGGAGCCAGGAGCCTCTCCCGGGTCTCCCACACCAGTGCAGGTCCCAAGGCTTTGAGCCTTCATCTACTGATTTTCCAGGCCACAAGCAGGGAGCTGGATGGGAAGTGGAGCTGCCGGAATTAGAACTGATGCCCATACTGGATCCCGGTGTAAGCAAGGTGAGGACTTTAGCCACTAGGCTACTGTGCCAGGCCCCAAACCAAATTTTTTCAACACAAAAAAATAGAAAAGGAACTAGAAAAAAAAAGCAATTAAAAAAAAAAATTCAAGGCACTGATGTGGTGGCATTACCTGCTAATCTGGCAGGCTGGCTCATGTCCTGGCTGCTCCACTTCCAATCCTGCTCTCCATTTGTGGCCTGGGAAAGCAGCAGAGATTTGCCCTAGCCCTTGGGCCCCTGAACGCATGTGCAGGGGCAGGGGGGAAGAAGGAACTCCTAGTTTCAGATCAGTTGCAGTCATCTGGGGAGTGAACTAGCAAGTGGAAGGTCTTTCTGTCTCTCTTCGTAAAAATCTGCCTTTCAAATAAAAAAATATATTTTTAAAGATTCAAAAATAAGTAGAAATTAAAATAATGAAACCAAAAATTGATTTTTAAAAATGAGAACAAAATTGACAAACCTTTGAAAAAAATAAAATAGATGACATGGTATAGAATACCTGGCCAGGATTCTTCTAAATCGTCAAGATCATAAACAGAACAGTGGTACTTGGCCAAGGCCCAAGGTCAGAGCACCAAACAGGAACAAAACGAGGCCAAGACCACCGTAGCCCCGCAAATGCAAACATCATTGAACAAGGTTGCAGGCATCAAATTTTTGTTGTTGTTTTTAAAATTTTTTTTTTATATTTTTGACAATCCTTACATAGTTAATTGGGGTAAAAAGGTTCAAGGGCTATAGGAAAGTGAGTAAGACTATTATTTCCATATTGTTTCCTTCATGTTTAAAAGCGGGTATGAAGGGAGAACGCCCACCCAATTTCCCACTCTCCCCAGGTCCTGCATGTAGGGCATGCTCCGAGGTTCTTGCTCAAGTGGTTTTGATAGTTCACCAGTTATAAATTGCTGCCAATCTTGCCACTCAAAGCAGTATGACGTCTGTGAAGAATCCACTGGTTGACATAGTCCATCATAGAGTCTCTGTTTGCCCCGTATTTCACTGCTAAGATATAGCTGAGATAGTTGGTTGACCTGTTCTGTCTTCTCTCTTTTCTTAGGGTTCTGAGTCCAGCATTTTGATTGGGGAAATCTCCAAAGAAACTTTGTCTGAGGTGTTCTCGGACCAGATTCTTGTATATACTACCAAGTACAGGGCCCGGCTCAGTCCATGGCCCTAATCAGCTGGTGGTTGCGATCGCTGGGTTGATTCTGTTTTCAGCCCTGTATTTCACTGGAACCAATGGGTGTTCCAGTCCAGCCTGGTGCTGCCCAGCACATACTCGGCCCTTGCATAAACAAGTGGGAGCTGCAGCTTGCCGACTGAACACAGATGTTCTGCCACTATTTCCAATGTTCCATTAAATCAGAGCTCCTGCTGGTTTTACAGTACTATTTCCTGCACTTATCTGGAGATGTTTTTAAAATCAAAAGATCTTAGAGTCAGGGTATTACGATTAGTGCAAGCTTTTGCAGGCAGACTGCCAATGAACTCTTAAGTAATTAGAAAATCATAAACTATTTCCCAGAGATAGAATCAAAGCAAACAGCAGCCATTACATCAACAAGTTTTGTGTTGTGAAAAAAAAAATTTCCTGGAAAACACAATCTACAAGACACGGGGCCTATTAGAAAGGTTACAGCAAATCCCATTATTAATGCTTGTATAACCTCCAGATAACCAGAGATTAAAGATTCCTCAAGGGTGTGGTAGAAGCCTCAAACAATTGGGAAAATAAAGCCCAGGAGAGCACAGGGTGCGCCCACAAACCTGGGTGGCAGGGTGACGCTGGTTGGGTTATTCATCAAGGACCACTGAGACTCCTTATCCTTTCAGACCAATATGCTCCAAAAAATAAACTGCTTTAGTTATTGCTTATTTAAAAGTACATCTTACAGAACAATAACATAAGGAAGCTTTTATTTGATGTTTAACAAGAAATCATACAAATAAAATCTGTATAAAAACAAATTCATATCGAGTCTTAACACATAGCAAAAGACAAAGTAAAAGCAAAGGAAGCTAACTGGTGGCTCTTCACAGTTGGACACATTTGTGTCTTGTACAAAATAATCATCTTAGATCAACAGAAGATCAATCTTCAATGTCCTCTTGCAAGATGGGTTTCTTTAGTATCTCCTGTTCCCTCCCCAGTCCTCCTTTAGTATGTACGGTTGGCAATTGTTTTGCTGATGGCCACCCCCTCAAGATACCTTGCCCTAATTGCTCTGGTGGCCACTGTGGCCTGCATATCCCTGTCCATATCCATAGGTCCCATAGTTACACCCAGAATACTCATATCTGCCATAGCCACTATAGTTTTGAGCACCACTATAAGCAATATTGTAATTTCCATATCCTTAATATCATAATAGTTTTAAATCCTTGGTTCCAGTTTTGGCCTTGACCTCGGCCACGACCCCACGCAGCTCCTCCTCCTCCTTTTGGTTGCTGCTTCTAGACCTTTCTGGGTTGTGCCACTTTGATTTCACACTTCCCAGAACCAATTTGATGATATCTACTTTCGAATAATTTCTTTACCGGTTTTTCATCTGTGTATGGTGATAAAACAAAATCCTCCTCTTTGATTTGTTTTTGTATTCATGGGAAGTTTACCGTTTTCAGTCTCTCCAAAGGCTCCAAAATATTCTATAATTTGCTCTTCCAAAGTGTTTGGCCTCAATCCACCTAAAAAACCTTCTCAGGGGGCTCTTTCCCTTTTAGAGCTTTGGCCCTTTTCGGGTCTACCAATTTGCCATCTAGCTTGTGCCCTTTCCCTTCATGGCCACGGCGGGGCGGTCGGCTGCAGGCTGTTGGCGTGCCGGGCGGTGCGGGCAGAACCGCGGAGCGCTGTAGGGAGCTGGATGTAAAACGATGGAGCAAGAGATAGGTTTAACATTTGAACAGGTGGAAAGGCTAACTACCCTGTCTTGATCTTCGCACACAGAATTCCATATGTTGACTTATCACACTGTACCCTATAAACATATTTAGCTAAAATAATTAAAAAGTTTATGCCATATAAAATGGATTTGAACGTATGGCAGGTTTAAATCAGTAAGTAAGAATGTATGAAGTATGAATCAGTAAGCTAATAGAAGAAAAAAATAGAATGTTTTCATTACCTTAATGACGAAAAATTTCTGAAACATAACACAAAAGCATTTACCTTAAAAGAAACATAGAAAAACTGGACATCTTTGGGTTTGAGTTGTCAGCCTCAGCCTCCAAAACACAATATTTTGGTAATATTTTTCATAATTTACCTAAAACTTCAGATGTTTTCAAAAAAGATTTATTTTTTATTGGAAAGGCAGATTTACAGAGAGAAGGTGCTTCCTTTCACTGATTCACTCCCAAGTGAGCACAATGGCCCGAGCTCAGCTGAGGTGAAGCCAGGAGCCAGGAGCTTCTTCCAGGTTTCCCTGTGCAGCATCCCGAGGCTTCGGGCTGTCCTCAACTGCTTTCCCCGATGCTATTGCGCCGGGCCCAGAACTTCAATTCTTTTTTTAAAAAAGATTTACTTATTATTTTTATTGGAAAGGCAGATATACAGAGAGGAGGAGAGACAGAGAGGAAGATTTTCCGTCCAATGGTTCACTCCCCAAGTGACCACAACGGCTGGAGCTGAGCCAATTTGAAGCCAGGAGCTTCTTCCGGGTCTCCCATGTGCATGCAGGCTTTGGGCTGTCCTCAACTGCTTTCCCAGGCCACAAGCAGGGAGCTGGATGGGAAGCAGGGCTGCCGGGATTAGAACCAGTAACCATATGGGATCCTGGCGTGTTCAAGATGAGGACTTTAACCACTACACTATTGCGCCGGGCCCCAGAACTTAAATTCTTAAGGATTACATAAACATGATTTGATGCCGAGCCATGTGTTACTGCCTATTCCCTTTTGGAGTTTCCTGAGGCTGTTTATTATTCTAAGACTCTTTAATTGGCTTCTGAGACTAGAAATGAGGAAGTTTTATTTTTCAGAACTAACTACTCCAGCACCATAAAAGGGCCACAAGACAAAATATTTGAAACAATAGAAATAGTAAAGTACTGATTATGTTACTTCTGATACCAAATGCAGAACTTCCTATTTAAAAAACTAGCCACAGGCGACACACACTCCCAGCAAAGATCCACAATCTTTCTTGCAACCCACAGAGCAAGTGCCCATTGCTCTGATCACTAAAAACTCTTGTTTATCAGTCTGGATTGGGGTCTGCTCAGTTTCTGGACCCCAAGTTCCATGCCTGTGAGGAACTCCAGTTCTGTTCCAATGAAAGAGAGGAAAGACAGATAATCTCATGCTCTCCTGCACCACTTACATGAAACTCGAAAAGCATATCTAATATTTTGTTGCTTAGTAGCATTGTTGGATAGGCTCGAGCTAATCTAATTTAAACATTGTATGACCCACTAAAATATAAGATGATGAACTTACTGACTTCTTATTTACTTCACAGATATTTGGATTACTATTTGGCTGACTTTCTGATGTCAGCTGATGAGTATTTTATGGTTGGCCAGAGAGTCATAATTTATGTGATGCTAGATGACTTCTCCAGGATGCCGCTGAAATACCTGAGTCGCTTCCGCACCTTCAAAGTTTTTGAAATTAAACGAGAGCCGCGATGGCAAGATATCAGTATGATGCGCATGAAGATCATCAGCGACCATATTGTTGACCACATCCAGTATGAAGTTGACTTCCTCTTCTGCATGGATGTGGATCAGTACTTCCAAAACAATTACGGGTTGGAGACTCTGGGAGAGTCGGTAGCTCAGCTACACACTTACTGGTATCGGAAAAATCCCATCTCATTTCCTTATGAGCGGAATCAGTCATCCGAGGCTTACATACCCATGGGGAAAGGGGATTTTTATTACCATGCTGCTGTTTTTGGTGGCACTCCCACACAGGTTCTTGATATTACCACGCAGTGTTTTGAGGGAATAATGAAGGACAAAAAGAAGAACATTGAAGCAGTATGGCATGATGAAAGTCACTTGAACAAATACTTTTTTCTCCATAAACCCACAAAACTCTTATCCCCAGAATACTGCTGGGATTTTCAGCTCAAACAGAATTCTGATATTAATGTTGTCAAAATTGGTTGGCATATGAAGAGCTATAATTTTACTAGACAGAAACTATGATTTTATAGCTCTTCCTTCTTGTTCCAAACTTAAGAGCATTGTTTTGCCCCATACCGTAGAAAATTAGCACTTGACAACTTTTACCACTAAGATATCGCTAACAAAATGGCAAGCCTACCAACATCATTTTTGGTCACGTAACATGGGATACAAGAGTTGCAGAATGAGTTTATATAAATCATCTAGAGATTTAATAATTTATATTTTGTGTCAATGTTGAAGAAACAGTAGGTTACAGTGAACAAAATGGCTTCTGCTACCAGAAGAGGAAGCCAGAAATATTTTAAAGGATCAAAATTTGTTATAATACTTCAGGAAAGGAGTTATGTGAAGGCATGGGAGAAGAAGGATTCTCGCAACCAAACTAAATATGCCCTATCTATCAAACTTTGAGGATATGAAGACCACCACCAGACAGGCCTACAGCTATTTAGGAAAACTCAGAGTCATTAAAGGAGAGCAATATAATTTCCAAGTACAAACTGTTATAAAAAGCAATGAAAAGAAAATAAAAATGTAATGGGAGAAATTTGAAAGCTTCTCTTTTAGTCTCCTTTTGAAAACCTATCCCTCCATATTAATTTTATGGTTCTCTATATACATATTATATGAATATGCACACTTAAATGTTTTGTACAAATTGACATATCACATACACAAATACACACACATACACATTTTATCAATAGTCAGGGTCCAGTTAGAAAAGCAAAAGCTAATATTCTAGGTAAATAGTTAAACAGTGGGAATTTATTTATTTATATTCTAGGATTTAAAAAATGTATTTGAAAGGCAGAGATACAGAAAAAGAGAGATGGAGACACAGAGACAGAGAGAGTTCTTCCATCTACTGGTTCGCTCCCCAAATGGTTGCAAAGGCTGGGGCTAGGCCAGACTGACACCAGGAGCCTGGAGCTTCTCTGCAGTCTCCCACGTGGCTGCAGGGATTTAAGCACTCTTCTGTGCTTTCCCAGGCACCTTAGCAGGGAGCTGGATCAGAAGTAGAACAGCCACGACTTGAATTGGTGTCCATATGGGATGCAGGTACTGCAGGCCATGGGTTAACCCACTATATCACAATGATGTCCCAAAAATGGGAATTTAATACAAAGAATTGGACCTATAGATGATAAAAGAGTTGAGGCAAATAAAAGGAAGAACGGGCAACCTGTGCAATTTTTTTGTTTTGTTTTGTTTTAGAGAAGATTTATTTACTTAAAGGGCAGAGTTAGAGAAAGGAAGAGAGAGAGAGAGAGATTCCATTTATCCACTGGTTCATTCTCCAAATAGTCACAAAAGTCCACAGCTAAGCTTCTGGGTCAGGCAGAATTCCATCCAGGTCTCCCAGAAGGGTGCAGGGGCTCCTGGACGTGGGCCGTTTTCTGCTGCTTTCCCAGGACCTAATTAGTATTGAAACATCCAGAACTTGAGCTCGTGCCCACACAGGATGCCAGCATTGCCGGTGATGGCTTAACCTTCTGTACTACAATACCAGCCCCTCCACGTTTATTTGTAGGTAATAGTACTCCAAGGGTTGGAGAGAAAAATGTAGGATGTTCATAAAGAGCCAGAAGCTAGCAGGAGTTTCTTGACGTGAGCTAAAACAACAGAAACAGAAGTTTCAGTCACTGCCAGGTATACATCCAAGCTGGGGGTGGGGAGAGTTTTGCAGGATAGAAATATAAGTTTTTCTCTCCTCTACTTAAAAAAAAATTTTTTAATTGCAAAGCTATATAGAGAGGAGAGACAAAGGAAATCCTCCATCTTCTATTTCACTCCCCAAATGGCCACAACAGCAGGAGTTGGGCCAGTCAACTGTGATGTTGACACTGCAGGCAGAGGCTTAACTTGCTACACCACCATGCTGGCGCCTTCTCTCTTGTTCCTAAAGCTGCTCTCTTTTGTCAGTGTTTTTCACTGCTTGATGTTATGTAAGTCACAGGGTGAGGGAGTCTGGATGATGTGGGCATCTGTTACACTGAGCATACCATAGGAAAAATGGAAAGATTTGAAAAAATCATCAGATGACTACTATAGCCATCCATTTTGTGACAAAGCATCTATTCTCACTCTTCTGTCCACATCTAACTACAAATCACTGTGTTTCCACCTGGAAGAATTCAATAAACTTGTATATAGGTAATCATTCTTTTCCCTGAAAGGGAGAATATAAAGTACCAACTGGCATGGTATTTCTCGTCGTGTCCAGGAACGCTAGATTGCCCTAGATTCTCTCCCTCAGAAGTGTATGTGTGCTGGGTGCTGATTGGTGGACCATGATCTGTGGTCTGCGATGCAGCGAGTAGAGCCATGGCCTGTAATGCTGGTATCCCATATCTGAGTGTTGGAAATGCTCTATCAGATACTAAGTGAAAATAAAAATTCTGATCGGGAGTTAAGGAACTATAACAAAAATAAGTTGTCATTCTGTTCAGTAGACTATATGGCATTTCTTTTTTTCACATTTAAAAACATTTTATTTTTGATGATGTTTACATAATTGAGAAGAATGTAAGCCCATGTGAACCACATGGTGGGAAGGGTCAAAAATTAGGGGAAAATAGATGAGACCATTGTTTGCAAGTTTCTTTTCTTTCTGTATGTAGAGGAAAAAGGGAGAGAGGGGGAAAAGCCACACACAGTCTCCTAACTGCATCAGTAACCGGGGCTGGGGAACAACCACCCAGTGTCATCCCAGGGTCTCCAATGTGGAGCATGCTCTGAGGGTACTGCTGACGTGGTTTTGACAGTTCTGAAATGCGGCTGATTTTGTTGCTCCAAGGATGAGGAAATCTTCCCAAGGTCCATTGGCTGACATAGTCGACCCTGAGTCTCCATTCACCCAGATATCTGTTGTCAACGCTTGGCTGGGAGAGTTGTTCAGTTTGTTCTGCCCTCCTTCCTGTTATGGTACTAGATGTCCTCTGCAGGCCCCAAGGGACTGCCATATTCTCCATATGCATTTGGGCATGCCATTCACGGCACTGTGTTCTGCAACTGAGGAAGCCCAGTTCTGACACATGCACTCCATGGTCAGACCATGGATCTTGTGCTTCGAGTTCTGAGTCTAGCAGTTCAGCCAGGGGAGGTCTCCAAAGAAACTTCATCTGAAGTGAGTCCAGAACTGAACCCTGTGTGTGCCAGCCAGTATGGGGTCTAGTTCAGTCTGTCACCCACATCAGCCTACACACACACCCTGGTGGCTTCAGTTGCTGAATCAATTCTGTCTCCAGCACTATCTCTTACACAAACCAACGGATACTATGGCTCAGCCCAGCCTTGCCCATGACACACAGCCCCCATGTACTGTGGCCCAGTAACCCCCAATAACCGCCACTAAGCCAGCTCTGGTTCCTACACATACATGATGGTGCAGCAGACTTGGTCCAGTTGGTTCCATATCCCATTCTGTTTTTGTGCATACCAATGGGTGCTTCAGTCTAGCTCAGCTCAACCAACCTCATTATCTGGCCCACACTTATGCTGGCAGATACTACCACTTGTCCAGCCAGTGTGGGAGATCACCCCTGGATTTCTGCCTTCTATCTGGTGGGCATGACCCACGGCCTACATGCCCATGACCTGAGGCACAGCTTCCAGCCTTGTGTGTAGAACATGTCCTGTGACATGACTGGTGGGTCTGAAGGGATAGATGAACCTTCTAGCCAATTACAGTGACATTGTTGGGTGGGGCGACTGTCGGGAGATACACTTCTGTCTTTTCCTTTCCTAGTTTATATAACTTTGTGCTTGCTTTACAATAAACAGACATGCCCCGCCAGTCCGTCCCTGGTGGTTCCTTTGGTGAAACAACATCGTCACCTCACCGCTTGGTGATCTCGGGGCCTGCTGGCCCTGAGAAATCCCCCTGGAAAGCAGATCCAACCCCTAGCCCTGGTTCTCATGTTCTATGGAGGGAGCTGCAGCCCATCAGAGAAGACCACATGGCATCTGTACCCCACAGAAATTGCTCTCAACTCAGAGCTAGTATCCATTCTACATTTTCTCCTAAGGACACAGTCATTCTAGTAAATGGCCACAGTTCCTCCTTCAAGGGCACATAGTCTCTGCTTCCATCAAGAGTCTTACAGTATTTGTAAACTAACCGAGGTGTGGGAACACAGTGACAGATCAGTCTTAGTGTGCCATCTCACGTCACATTTCTGCTTTCCAGTTTTTCTCTCTAGTTTTTCTAGCAATAGAGTTCATCATCTTATTGAAACCAAATAGTCCATTTCGGTATCTCCCCCATATGGAGTCATTTCCTAATAATGATGAAGGAAAATGTAGTCTAAGTCCCATTTCCCACCAGAGGAGGGTGAATAGACTGAATGGATAAATTCACTTCAAAGTCTTGCCTTCCTCATCCTTTGAATTTCTTCTAAAATTTCTTCTAAAATCTGAATTTCTGTCAGGAAAATTACACCACCTATACTGAACTACAGGCTACCATTGGACTAAAGTTTTAGTTTAACAACCAAGAAAATGCTTAGATACAATGAACTTACATAATAAATTCAGAACTTGAGGAAAGAGTAATTGTTTAAGTAACTTCTGCTTAATTGAATATTCTATTCCATTATTCTTGGTTTAACATCCTTATAATCCATTCCCTTGTGTGTTTCCTTACTACTATAAACTAACAGTAGCTTGAATTCTTTTCATGGCCAAATTGTCTCCTACTGGAACTGACCTAAAATACTCTCATGAGGCCATGCGGATTTTATTCTAGATGTTAGATCTAATAGCAGTAAGTGTTGTCTTACAAATCAGTTGTCCTGAATGAGTTCATTAGAGCATTACTAAGATTTGTCTCAAGCCAGCATGTTAGCTCATCCTCCTCCAAGTGCTGTATTCCATATGGATACTGGTTCATGTAATGGCTGATTCACATCCCATCCAGCTCCGTGCCTAGGAAAGCAGAAGAGGATAGCCCAAATCCTTATGTGGGAGATCCAGAAGAAGCTCCTGGCTCCTGACTTTGGATTAGCTCAGATCCAGCCATTGTGGCCATTTGGGCAGTGAACCAGTGAATGGAAGAGCTTTCTCATTATCCTTTCTTCTCTCTGTAAGTCTTCCTTTATAATAAAAATAAATCTTTTTCTTTAAAAGAGATTTGTCTCCACACAGACATTTTCAATGATAAGGGAAGTTTATGGCAATTTAAAATTTCAAGTTCTCAGGCTCATCTGAATCTATCCAAATGTTTTCCTCCCATATGTTAGATTCTCAGTCTTTTCCTGATTCTTTAATTTTAACACAATAGATTTTGAGATGCTTTATACTGATCATATATTCTAATTATGTACACCATATACTTATATGTGCACTTTGTCCTCAGTCACATGTATCTTATGTACACACACACACACACACACACACACACACACACATACAAGTGGTACCATAAAAGTCAAATGGTTCTGTGTCCATGCTTTGAACTGAGATTTCAAATTTCTGGACTGACTTACATAATTTTTCTAGATCTATCAGAAGCAGCAATCCCATCCCACAGATATTGTACT